TTATACGATTGCATATAAATCTTATAGTTGTTTGACAAAGTTATTAAACCATTTTAGGAATAATATTATAAATTAAGCATGCTACTTTTTAATTTATTAATTAATTAAGTATACTTTAAGTCAAATTCATACTTCAATCTTCTAAAATATCAAATTGATATAATTTTAAAAAGCCCCCATTGAAATTTGAAAAAAAATGATTTAAATAATTTTCAATTTTTTATTTGTTAATTTAAATTTGAATTCATGATCAGAAATTTTCAAATTAAATTTGTTTCTAGCTTTTTCTATAATGGTGGATGACATTGAATGAACTTTATTACGTATACCCACGAATAGCTTGTTTAGACTGAATATCTCCTTCCAAAACATAAAATAATTTAATAGTTTTTTTTAACCCTGACATGGTATTAATTTTTAATAACCGGAACGATAAAGATAGAAACAACAATGTCAAATCAACTTTTATTTTACATTCCTAGTTGTTTATCTAGATTTTAGTTGTTTATTATTAAAATATATGAATAAGCTGTAGAGTGTGTAATTTATAAGATCATTAGAAATCATTTTGCCTTAAATTATTTATAAAAAAGACTGTGAATATAAATAAAAAGTGAAACATGAAAAATGAGGAAGTTATAATTACAAATTGAATCATGTTAGAACAATTTAAAAATCGTATTTTTATTGAGGTGATATTTTTTAAAATTATCCTAAAATTAAATCAATAATTATATATTGTAATTATTTTTATTAAAATCTGTTGCTGTATTTAGATAACTATCTTAAAAATAGCACTTTAAAAAACTATTTCTCATAAGAAAATTGTATGGTAATATATCTGTTTATTAACACATAAAATAAAGTTAAAACTACTATTTAATGTATGAAGTATATATATTTTAAATAATAAATCATTGTATTTTATTACAGAGAGCATAGATTGCAAGAACTCTGAAGAAGCTGTTGTAATTGATGATAAGATGAGTTCCGAAACAAGTGGTGGTGTTAATTTTATCGTTGGGGACGAAGATGGCGTTGATCAGGCTTCCGATCAGACTACTGACCTCGTCAACGGAGACTTGATGAGAGCTTTAGAAGAAGAGAAGCATGAAAATACTGATTCTTTTCCTTTAGGAAAAGAAACACGTACGGGTGTAACATCAAATAGCAACTCTTATAATAATATGTTTGGCCTAACGGAAAAAAGGAAACGATTGAGGTATTTTGATGTGTTCCTAAAATTAATTTTTTTATCGTAAAAAGGTTTGGAATTAATCAGTAATTTTACAAATTAATTTACTCAAAATCATTAAAATATTTGTATTAATTTTAAGTTTAAAGTTTCTAAAGTCTCGTATATTTTTAGGAGTATCAGCAAACATCATTATGTATTTGTATTTTTATGTGTGAATCAGTATTTTAAAATTTTTGATTTTTACGTTTAAGTTATAATTTATTATTTTCGAACTATAACCTGAGTAACAAAATTGAAAGTATTGGAGAACGACCCTAATAATGTAGAACCTGCAATACTTGGTGTCGTTTTATTAGTTAAAAGTAACAATATATGTCTTAATCAAAATTACTAATTTTTAACAAATTAGTTACATACGAGTATCATTTTTATGCTTATGAATCGTTTTATCTTAGCTGTTTTGAGGTTTATTAGAGTTGTTACATTTATTTAAAATCATACATTAGTTTTTAAATTTATAGAAATTAATTTTTTAATTATTTTGTATTCATTAAGCATTTAGCATTGCGTTTTACTTTCTAAAATATCAGTTATTGTTAGTATGTGTTGTTTTAAAACGAAAATAAAACTTTTAAACATTTATTGATTAGAAAATAATATTATGTCCCCTTATTAGTTGTCATTATCGTAACGTAATTGATTTTCTATAAATATACAGACCTACGTTATAACAATGGGTGACAAGTTTAACTAAATTTGATGGATGGAGAGTGATGACAGATTGGCAACTAGTTTTCGTTAACAGTCTGTAATGAGCCTATGTTAATGATAGATTATTGCGTAACAATAATAATAAATTAACAACTATTATTTAATTATAAAGCATATCGCAGATAAAATAAAATGTTATATGTAACTTATTTAACTATAATTATATGTCTGGGATGGGCAACTCAAAGTAAATAAAAGGCCAATTTGCAGAACTTAAAAATGTAGTGGGCCAAAGTAAAATAAGGTAAAAAGAGGTTATTACAATTGACAATTAGCATTTATTATATATGATTTAATGTTACGACTGAACCAACACAATGATTAGCCAATACTTAGTGTTAGCTACTGTGTTAGCTATGCCGATAATATCCATATTATGGATATTCAGTCGAATCACGATAACTTGAACCTCAATAATTCGATAAAATTAACAACTCGAAATATTTTTTATTCCTCTTTAAATAAAGTTTTATTTACTCGAATATAAAACTGTTTATTACAAAAATCTAGTAAAAGTAGAAGTATTTTTAGTCGAAGTATATCTTTGTATTTTCTAATCGACTGTAAAATAAAAATAATAAACGGGCTGATAGGAACCGATTATTAGAGCATACACAATAATATAAGTATGTACTGATTAGTGAAGTCATGAGTTGTATGATTACAACGAACTAAATAATATCATTATCAGTGTCGGCCTGGCCTACCCAAGTACATTATAGCAATCACATTATAGTCGGCACTCTTAAAAAATATATGAAGTCTTTAAGAGGCTAATTTTGACAACAAAAATTAATCATGGGTCAGCTAACCTGAACCTTTCCTAAATCCGCCCCTGGGCTCAACCACGCTAACATGAATAATGATAATAATTATTTTCCTGAATTAAATTAAAATCATATTATTCTTTGTTAATTTTGAAATATTGCTAACGTGATTTAATAGAGCTAGGTATAACTGCTATAATTTATACATTTTTGTTCTCTAAATCAAAATCGAACAAATATACGAGTAAATATTTTGAAAAATTAAGATAAGTATTGCTAACAGTTACTTACATAAATACAATAATAATTCGATAATATTGGCTTTGAAAAAATATAAAAACAAAAATAAATCAAAATTTGTAGAAGAGTTCGAGCGTAGGTAGCGAGAAAATATATTTTTAGTAGGTATTTATTAAATCTCCTCCAGTATTAAATTGTTTGGGGGCCCATTATAAATATTTTGCCGGAGGCTCAATCATGAGCCAGACCGACACTGGTCATCATTACTAATTGTTACTACTTAGAGAATTTGTTGAATCTGTTGAAAGTATGGATACTTCTATATTTGAAGCCTAAACGTAGTAATAGATTTTGTCAATATAAAACAAATTATTTTTCTACTGTTTATTGTAAATAATGTATACACATGTATGTATACTTATAATACCATTGTATCAATTTTTAACTATTTATTACATTTATGTACTTAATATGTATATAAATATAATATATTCATCCTAACGTTTTTTTATTGTAAAATTCGAAAACTATATTTCATTACATAACTCGAATTCTTAAATTCGAGTTATAATAGGTATCTTGTATAATACATATCTCAAAGGGAATTTTTATCCCTTTTCAACTTCGAGTTATCGTGACTCGACTATCATTATTAAATGTTTATATATTTATTATTATTATTATTAGTATTTTATTATTTATTATTATTATTTATTTTATTATTATTTTACTGTAGTTCATTACTAAATAAGAATATAATATCTACATTTTACGATCAACGTAATAAAATGAAATTCCTATATATATATTACACAAGGCAATTTGGTTCACCTCGTTGATTTGATTATCGTTTATTTGAAATTCATTCAGAAATACTATATATTTCGCATGATTCGTTCTTTCAAACAATAGCGAAATTATGAATTTAACTATTTACCGAAAACATTCTAATTTTACATACTCGTTTTTCTATTTGTTTATGTTAATACTTGTGCACGTGTTACGTGGATGTTGTACTTAATTATAAACAGCAACCATAAATTATGAAAACATTGAGTAAGATATGGAAAATTATCGACTTTTTTGCTGTTTGTATTTTAATACTCACGAACTTCGGTTTGGCCTGAGTAAGCGGCGCATCGTATACATGTTCTACGTTGTGTCATCGTCGCGGTTGTCGTTTGACGTTGTTAACCTACAAAAACACATACATATTATAGCCACTTCGGCACTACAGCACCGCGTTCGACTAATATGTGTGTCGTGTTGTGTTCTATAGCAACGACCATCGAATTCGTTCGGCTGTTACGTAGGGACATGTGAAATATTCGTCAGGTTTTACATTTGTATTTTCGCTACGTCGTCGTCCGGAAATCTAAACGTGGCGTCCAAGACATTTATTATAACAATGAACGACGTACACCTTTTAATAAACGGACGATTTCATTGCGGTTAGTGCGGTGCGTTTAACGCCTGTGTTTATGTCGGCCATTCGCGTATTTTCTCACGTACCGACGTTGACTGGTTTGTGACGAAATATTACACGTGCCCGCGTGATTGCGTTTGTGTTTGTGTTATTTTAGCGCGTTAAATCTATTTTCAGTCGTGTTTTTTTTTTTTTTTCCAAACGAATACTATTGTAATCGCCTACACCTGTTAACACGCACGTGGTGGTGAAAATCGACCTTGGCGTGTGCAGTGTCTTCGGCGTTTTCGCACGGCTGGCTAGGACGGGGCTCGTACCACGGGTCGTGTCGACGTGTGACCCGCGTAATATATGCCCGAACAATAAAAATATTGTGCTAATTAATAAATGGCGCAACGCAGTCGATTTAATGGCCCGCGTTGTTAATTAATAACTGAAAATCCACGTACGTGTTGCAGTTGCGCACCGTGTCCGTAACGCTCACGCACGGTGGCCGACCGATAGTGCAGTAACTTACCGTCGAATTGGAGCGCGGTTCTGCGTACCGTAGTAAATCGTATAGATCGTACTCGCGGCGCGCACAGGACCCCTCCGTGCCGTCGAAGGATCGTTGGCGGACAACGGTCCGCTAAACGCGGCCATCGTAAAAAAGTACGCGCCGTCATCGTTACCTACGCCGGCACCATCATCGTCATCATTATCGCCCACCGCCGTAACGCAACAACCGTGGCCGGTGCCGGATGCAACGGGGCAACAGCGAAAAAATCGTAATTACAGCAGTGCGCAGCAATACGGAGCCGTAGCACATTGCAGTGCAATCGTTGGTGGTGCTGCACGACCAGTTGTTGTATCGTAGTCCTGTCGTCCGCGTTATCCGATTGTTTTCACCGCCTCGCGTCGCCGGCCGTGTCGTAATCGTCGCTACTGCTATCGCGCGTGCGTGTCCGTCTGCCGCTCGTGCTCTGCGCTCGCGGCACGCGTGCTCGGCCGCACGTGTCGTCATCACCCGTCGCGCAGTTGAACGCACACGTCCGACACTCGCGTACGGCTACCGCGCGAACGTCATGCTGCAGCGCAGGAACTCCAGGCGGTTCGTCTTGTCCGAGCTTCGGACGTCCACCACCGGCAACAAGTCGCAGTTGAACGGCGGCGGCGTCGAGGACGCACAGCAACCGTCATCACCGGCCCACGAGGATGGCGAAGAAGACGCGTCGTCCGCCGCGGTCGATTCGGACGAAGCGGACGACGCGTTTTGCATACAGCTGGAACCGATGTCGTCGTTCCCGCCGGTGGCCAGCGGCAACTCGCCGCGGCCGCTGCGCGCGTTCGCCTCGTCCGCCGGACTCCTGTCGTCTATGCACGACGATCGGCCGCCGTCCAAACATGAGATTGCCCAGTGGAAATCGATTAAAAATCTAAAATCCGGCATCACGTAAGTGTGCCCCTTAAACGCATAACGCAATAGTAACAAGTAAACGAATTATAATAATAATAATAATAATAATAATAAAATTGTTGCGGTGTAATTTACGGGTGTTAGAAGAAGATCCGACATTTATCGTAACCTAGATGTTTCTTAATTAGCGATTACACTTCATAGGATCGTATTTGGACAATGCGTTTTTTTCAGTATGTTTTTGATATTGATAATTCTCTGATTTCCCCCGAAATGTAATGCCAGTGATATTGAAATCAATGTTTTTTAAACATTTTCGAAAATAACACCGCAAAATTGAAAATATATATTTCGAACTGATACTTGAAATAGATTACATTATATTATTCATTAACAAATGTAATCAAATAATATTAGTCACACTATGTCATGTCGAAACATGAAATGACGTTTTACTCAAATAATTTTTTAGTTTCATTAGGGTATCTCAGGAATTTATCAGATTTCAGCATTTGCTTGTAATACACACACACATATTTATACCTCATTAATTAATACCCGTGTTTTAAGGGATTTATACAATGATGCAATCCGATTTATAGATTAATCGTTGTATACCGCATCTATGTCTTGCACAATGATTTTTAGCGTATTTTAACCTTGTTTATTTGTTTTTTGTTTTTGTGTTCTCTTTATTTTGTTTTGACTGGTGCACGAAAATTGCATACGAAATCCAAGCAATCATTTGGATTGTGTGTGTGTTTATGCATATTGATGTGGTGTGGAAAACTAAACTCCAAAAAGTATACTTACCATACTTGTTGTTTTTTATTTAATGGCATCATATGCCATTTTTGGTCGTAATTTCTTACTACAACATGTTCAGAAATGTGCACTTTTTGGTCAAGTATTAATTCCAGTACCGACAATGGTGTTAATACATAATCTAGTAGTTTTTCTAGTACTTAATTAAATAATTATATAGTATACTTGTTTGTATCAACTCGTTTTCTTTAAACTACTCTTAAAACGTCAGTTTTCTTTATATTTAAGTTTCATCGTAAGCATTTAAGTATAATAACCGACTTTTTGCGTTAAAACCGTATTCATTCGTTTTGTTTTAGCACGTGTTTAACGCATCAAGTTGTTGGCGAAAACAATGTATTCTACACATAATTCAATGTGACCCACAAATGTTTTTTCATGTTTATTTATAATTTAATTCTCGACTTTTTTACATAATAAAACCTTGTAAATACCGGTATAAATTTCCACACACTTATTATTTCAAATATTTTTTTTAAATAATTGTGGTAAACAAATTGTTTGACTTGTGGGGGGGGGGAGTGCAAGGAGATGGATATTCTAGCTTCCCCCTACAATTATTATTTTATAATTATAACGTTTAATAAGTTTTGGGACGCTCTTTTTTTTTTAAGGAACTAGAGTCCCCTTTCTTTAATTTTGCCAAGTTATGAACTGGATAAACGTAGTTAAACCAGTTTTAATTTGGTAATATTAATATCGGTATATTGGACAACTCTTTAGACTGTTTTAAATAAATTACTTATTAATTATTAGTAGTGATAAGCAGTTACTTGCTGATTTATCAATGTTAACAACATAAATCAGTGTTGTTATTTACATAATCAGTACTGGTTTATTTCTAATAACGTGTGATTGCTTGCGATATTATTGTGCAATTTGCGTGTTCATTTATTATAATTTTGACGAAAGTGAAAACTTAAACGTAAAAATCTAAATCTAAAAAATAATTCAAGGCAAAAAATAACTGCTAATTTTAAATTTTTAAATCGTTATAATATTATGAAAGTACATTGTTGGAAATTATATCTTATATAATACATAATTTGACGTAGGTGCAGCTAATTATAGTAGAAATTCTGTATTTTTTCAGTTCTGAACGATTGAATTGTTTAAAAATTGCTTTAAAAATAAAATTATTCGTCATCAGATTACGTTTATTCGTTTGATAGTAATGTGTATTAACTTTGAAAAATAGATGCTGCGTCTTAATTTTGGTATTACATAGTAACAGACAAGGTTGATGGTGGTTAACGACCAAGGAACATTCTAATATACTTTTCTTTACTTATGCATTTTTTTTTTTTTTTATAAGTTCTTGCCACGAATTAGTTCAAGGGAATGAAGTTGATTTTCGTTTTTATATTTAACTGAATGGTTAGCGGAACTATATTAATTTTTCATTTCATCATAGGCACGTTTCTGTTTTTTTTTCTTGTGGCGAAGTATAGTAATGGCGGCAAAAACTCTTAGAGAATAGACATGCCAGAATAAGATAGGTGCGTTCTTATTTATTGACCATTAAAACGTAAAACACTTAATATATTATCTTTTAAAATCAGTTCATTAATGTAAATTAGAAATTTACTTTGAGCTAATTATGCTAAAAATATATTACCTATTGATTTTTTACTAGTATAAACATTGAAAAATTTTGTTGTAATATGAAATGTGACAATTTATTCGTATTTTTACTGTCCTAATCATTTAAGGTAGGTGTATATATTCCATATGTTAATGAAGCATAAAAATCAAAGTTTGACTATTGGTGGTTATATAATACATTTTTAGTATAAAATCAATGGTTTATGATTTAAAGTAAAATGCAATATGAATTAAAGATCTTTGAAAATGTTTATCAGAAATCTATACCAGCGTTTCGCAATCTGTAGGTCGCGAACCCAAGGCCAGATTAAGCACCTATTGGACCCTGGGGCTATAATTTTATATGGGCCCTTTTAAAAAAACATGCTTTACAAAGCTGCTCGCTACACTCGCAGAATGATACATTTTTTGAACTATTTTTCATAAATTGTTAATTGCATTATAAAATTATAAGATTAATAGGTATAATTGTATGTATAATTGTATATCACAAAATTAAGTGACGTGAAATTATGCGTTTGTACTCTACGTAGTTCCGAGCAAGGCCGGATTAAGTACTTATTGGGCCCAGGGGCTGAAATTTTATATTGGCCCTTTTGACAAAATATGCTTTACAAAGCTACTCACAAAACGATAAATTTTTTTTAATTATTTCACAAATTGTCAATTGCATTCAGGGCCGCATTTAAGGGGGGCGGGGGCACTGGCTACAACTGCCTCGGGCGCCAACATTTTATGGTCGGAAATTTGCTCATTTGTGAATTATTGAACTTTTAAAATTATTTTGAAATTATTATCCTTTTTTTCTTTTAATAACAGTATCATAAATTAATGTTAATGTGTTTATAGCAATATAGCTATCAGCGATCTAGAATATTATTAATATACCTACCTAATATTAGTTCCCAAATTTGTTGTGATAATGTCAATAAACATAGGTTTTTTATAACAATACGGCGTATTATGTTATCACCTGTGGCATACGGTGGCGTGCCTACTACAAAAAATAGCATTGATTTTAGAATATCTAAAAGGTTCATGAGGATCTATCTCCTCGTATATTTTCCGTGGGTAGGTCCCTTAGATGGGCGCCAATTTTTTTTTTGCGCCGGGACGCAAAATGTCTAAATACAGCACTGATTGCATTATAAAATTATAAAATGAATAGATATATACAATTTATATCTATAAAATTACTAATTTTAGTAAGATAAAAAAAGGTGTATCGGCTATCGCCCGGGCTAAACCCCCCCTCCCTTTAATGCGGCCTTGAGCGAACCCCTAAATGAGGGATCGCCATTCTCAGAAATAATTAAATGCTGATGTAGAAAAATAACCTTTAATTAACATTAAAAGTAAATAATTTATACATGACCATAGTAATAAAAATGAAAAAGTTAGTTTGTAATATGTATATGCTATAAACTTAATTTCTTTCATGTAGGAATTCAAAAACTCGTATTATTGTTTTGTTATTGGTTAATGATATAATATATCTTATTACTAGTAAAACAGGTAAAAGCTTTAGTTAGTTTTTATTGTAAAGTGGGGTCTTGAGGCGACTGATTTAATTTTTACCTTTTTTGGGGTCGCGACGTTAAAAAGGTTGATAAACGCTGATTTTAATGACTAATACTTTCTAATAAGTTACTCATTTTAATGAAACATTGCTAATTGTTTTTATATATTTTTATGTATAAAATAATAATACCCATATTTTGCTTTAATAGTTTTAGATTATAAATACTAAGCTTATAGGTAAACTGAAACTCTAAATTTGTAATAATTAGTAATTAATGATTAATCTTATGTTATATTACAAACATAAAGGTTCAGTTCATCTATAAACTTAGTATTTATAATCTAAAAACTATTAAAGCAAAATATGGGTACTACTATTTTATATTAAATGTAATTAATAATTACATTTAATTATTAAAGTTCCTGCATTCTTCGAATACTCTTTGAATATTGAAACTTTTTGACTATACTAACTATTGGAAGTCATCAAATATGATTACACTGTAAATTCAGGGTTTGCAGACTTTCTAGAATCTAGATATATGTCTTACCTTACAAAAGTCATATTAGGATTTCATATTTATTTTCGTATTTTGTGTGAAAATTTTTGCTTTTAGGTTAATTCCATTTTAACTAAAAATTGTAAAAAATCTATTTATTAAAGAGTGAATAAAATATGAAATGTTAGTTACATAGTATTCATATTACGTGTAATTTAAGGTAAAAATATATTTCTCACTTAGAAATTAATTATTTATTTACATTTATCATGCACAGAATCGAATTCAAGAGGGACTATGAGGGCCTCTCTTAGATCTCAGTTATTTAAAATATTTCAAAAATTAACTTAATTTTCAATTTATTAATTAAATTAAAGAGGAGAAATAATATACTTATAATACATTATGTTATATTGCTTATTTAAATTTAGGAGTGATTATTTATAGTTTATAGTCCTTAAAAGTCCTAACCAAGAAGTAAAAAAAAACAGAGAATTGGTCAAATTAATTTGCTAATAAACTGTAGTATTTTATCAACTACTAAATATTTAAGGCACTTTATCCTATGTTATTATATAACAGGGGCGGTGAACCTTTTTTAGGTCGTGCCAAATTTTTCCAAATAAGGTTTTGAAAATTGGTCACGTGACCAAAGGAAATTATATTTTTTAAAAATTAAATTAAAGATTTATTACAGTATTTTTATTAAGTAGGTACTACATATTTTTTTTTTTTTTTGTAATTTTATAAATGATATTTTAATATTTTATTAAATATCCTTGAATTTGGTGAGATTAAAATATATTTAATTCATTTATTCTGTTTCTTAGCGGATAAAGTTTTGATGTTATGAGTGTACTTTGTTATTTTTAGTGAAACACAAGCAGCAATTGTTTCATCGGTCAAAGCATTTCTTTCCTCCGATTTAATCTGAGATTTAATTAAATTCGTTATAGAGAATAAAGAAGCATAATTTGTTGAAAAATATGAATTATAAAGAATATTATCATTTTTATCATGTATGAATATTATATTCACTTTAAAAACGTAAATTAAATTAAATTTAAATGCCTATGATTATGTATTTAAATAATTTTTTTTTCGTTCAGCTTTTTTTCATTTTTAATTCTGCGTCTAATAATGCACAGTTTTTACGTTGTATAATATGCTAGTGGTTCTTAACTTTTATGTGCAGGCATCTCAAGATATTTACTCAATTTTTCATGCGATTTTATTCAAAATAATGTTCAATTATTCGTGTTCCATAGATTGAAAAATGCGGTAAAAAACAAACTCATTTATACCGTTGTCTTTGGTTCAGGATAATGGTTACCGTTTATCTTGATTATAAAGACCCTTAATTGTCTAAAATCCCTTGTATCAGAAATAAAAATAAGTGCTGTGGTTTTTATACTCTGCATTTTTCAATACTAGTTACTTTTTGAAATTGGAACGACTAAAATAGTCAACCATAAATTATGTGACGATCCATAAGGAAGTAATCCTTATATGATTTTGTTTCAAGGTCCTTGTTAGTTCAATGTTATATACGGCCCTGGTGATATGTGAGTGTTTATTTTTAATTTAACAATAATAATTATTGTAAAAATTAATAAATTATTAATAAATTATTTATTTATGATAATTTATTTTATTTAATATTTATTAATTTATGCATGTGATGAAACAAGAGGAAAAAAATGCAATAAGAGTTGCTATGATAATGAACGATGAAGGGGAAAGAGGAAGAGGAAGACCAAAAAAGGGATGGTTAGATACGATTGAGAATGATATGAGCATCGTTGGTGTATGCATAGGGGATGTAGAAAATCGAGACGAGTGAAGGTTTAGGATAATGGTGACTAACCCCAAATAGTTGGAAAAAAGGTGAAGAAGAAGAACAATAATTAATTTATAATTGAATATAACATATAAATGTATATTAATGTCATAGAAAATTGTTATTATGTAATTGATGTTAAAGATATGTCTACATATTGTGTGTGTCATATTTTACTCAAATTGTCTATTTAAATTTGTAGATATTGTAGATCTGTATTGAACACGTTTGAATGATCCAAGAACACCGGTAAAAGGTATTTTTAAATCAAAATATTTCTTTTTATGATCTATTTATCATAATATATTTATATCAATTTTTATATTTTCTAACTTTGGTTCATTCGATAATCTTACCTTGTATTGTATAAATACTTAAATTAAAATACTTTTTATATTATTTTATTGGAGATGTATTTAATTTTAGTTATGTTCATCGATTTTTGTGTCCTACCATTATCAATTTAATTTCTTAATTCAGTAAATAATGAATATTAAATATAATAGGGAAGTTTTAAGTATTATTTTTAAACCATTTCCATAGTTTAAAATACGTAATTAAAGATATATATATATATATAATTTAATTTAGTATATTTGATTTATCACTAACTTAAAGTCATTTTATGCACTTTCGTGATTCCCAATTATGTATTTTTAACTGTTAAATAAAATATTAATTTTTGTCAAAAAAATATGGGTTTTAATACATTGTTTATTTATCTGTTTAATGATTTGCATAGCATGTGCTTGCATTTTCTACCTCACGCCTTCACTGTTCTATAATTTTTTTTATAAATTGTCTTGCGTTTTACTTATTTCTTTTAAATTACCTATCCAATTCTATAAATAGAAAACAATATTCTATTTGTGGATAGTATTTTTATGTATTACTATTTATTTTCATCTGTACTAATATTTACACGATGTCTAAATTGGGTAATACATTATTTTTTTTAATTTTATTTTTTAATATCGCTTGATTGAATGATACACATATGAGGCGGGAAATCTACTCAGTAGTAGAATCCAACGTGATTATTATTATTATTATTTTTAATTTTTTTTTATGTTATTATTTAGGTAGCAGATCTATGCACCATAATAAAATTTAAAACTTAAGCTTCGATTATTTTGTATTTCTGGAAAATGTATAAATTGTTTACACGTTTAACAACATTTTGTTTATTTTTGATTTTCAAATTTTTGGTATAATTTACGTAATATAGAAATTAATTTTAAGAACTTAAAAATATTAATCCTTAGTTTGTGTTATTAAAATATTCTTTTAAAATTTGCTTTTAATTAACTATGGAGAATTTCATACGGTGGTGCTGTGTGTACTTTAAAACTTAAATATTTATGATAAAATATATCAAAGGCATTACTATATTAATGACTAGTACGAATATGTTATCAAATAATGACGCCGCATGTATTTTAAATATTTATCTGTATTAAATAATAAAAACTTGGTATTAATAATTAATAGCGTGTGTTAGTAATGACTAATGACCAAAAGTCGATTTTTTAACATTTGTTTGTTGTTTTGAGTTATCTAAAGTAAAATGTACACACAGTACTAATACAATTTTATTTAAATGAATTAAATTACATAAGTTTAATTTTGCTTTATATTTTTTTTTTTACACAAATTGCAATTATTTTTTTTAAGTTTGGATCAATTTTTTTTTTCTGAAAATATAATAAGAAATTAAGGAATGTTGCTAACTGATGATTCATTGTATTTATTGTCTATTGCATTGGAAATTTAAGTTTTAAACTATTAATTATTCAATTTAATTTAAATAAATAAATGTTATAAAAGTAACTAATTATTGTGCCTATGGTATTTGGTTTTAAGTACGTGCATAAATATTTGATTTTGCTCTATGACTAATTAGTGGCATGTTCCTTGCTCTAACTGCCCAAGTCATTATTAATGATTTAAAAAATAAATCACTGCAAGACAATAAACTATTATCTTTTATTTATTTTCATGTCTTATTAAGTGTTCCAACCTATAATGAATATTAAACCCTAGAAATAAAAACCTTCAGTAAACTTAATGTATGTGGACAATAAACAAAAATCATTAATATATTGTCTTGTAAAGTGATTAATTTATTATACCTAGTTAAAATTTTTGTGTTAATAATATATTTTTTATACATTTTAAGTTATACTTTTTATTTTTACGAAAAATAAAGTTATACTTCATTCACTTATTATTGAATCAAAATGAATTAAATTTATATTACAAGTGGTTTTTAAGATAAGGTTGTTACTAGAAAATCAGATGTGTCATAGTTAAATACTGATTACGTAGTTAGTATATATTTAACTAGACATTAATACCAGGTGATACCTTTATTATGTCATTTATAATAACTTTATTATCATCAACTACTGTTACTCCAAAACTTAATTGAAAGAAATGTATATTATGATTTGTATTTTTTATGTATTTAAATATTCTGTTACATAAAATTTGTCAATTGTATTATATTTTATTGTGCAGTTTTAACACATTTATTTCAATTGTATATTTTGTTCTCTTCAATTATACAAATAGTATATAAGTCATAAAATGCTATTCACACTTAAATATACAATTATTAAATTATATAGTTTACTAATAATTGTAACTTTATCTGATCAATAAAAAGTTATTAGTACTTAAAAACTTTAATTGGTTGTTAAATATATTTCATATATTATAATAATTAATTTTTTTTTTTTTTTTTGTTATTTACTTTTATACTGAATATATTTTGTTCATTTATTATAGGCCTAGTATGTCTCAAGGCAATGTTATACATCAAAGACTTACTGAAAAAGATTTTAATGTAAGCACTCCTGAGGAATTTGTCAAACGTTTTAAAGGAACAAAAGTTATTAACAAGGTGAATACTAATGATGAATAATTTATATTAGTTTAATTCATTTTTAATAAAAATATTTTTTTGAATATTAAAATTAACTAAATATAATAATATGTTTATAATACATTAGGTTTTGATTGCTAACAATGGTATTGCTGCAGTTAAATGCATGAGATCTGTTCGTCGATGGTCTTATGAAATGTTTAGAAATGAAAGAGCCGTACGATTTGTAGTGATGGTTACACCAGAAGATCTTAAAGGTAACATATTAATAATAGATTTTTTAATTTGTTTTATCTGTTCTAACTATGTATTTAGTTTTTAACTGTATCTTGGACACTAGCCCGTAATGTAATGTAAAATAAAATAAACATAAATATTAATTGATATTTGTTTGTTTTTCTAACACATCGAAATTAGTTTCTTGGATATTTTTTTTTTTTTATTAAACTATCAATTTTAACTTTAAACTAAAATTAATTTTTATTTATTGGAGTTTGTCAGATTATATTTTTAAATTATTATTTTCTAGCAAATGCTGAGTATATTAAAATGGCTGATCATTATGTACCAGTACCTGGAGGTACAAATAACAACAATTATGCTAATGTTGAACTTATCGTCAATATAGCCATTCGTTCTCAAGTTCAAGTATACATTTTTTTATATAATTAATATAACATTTAAATCATTATTTTTTTTTTTTTTTTTATATATTATATGTTTAAAATAGGCTGTATGGGCTGGTTGGGGACATGCCTCTGAAAATCCAGAACTCCCCAAACTTTTGGAAAAAAATAAGATTTCTTTCATCGGACCACCTGATAAAGCTATGTTTGCTCTTGGTGATAAAATTGCTTCAAGTATTGTTGCCCAAACCGCAGAAATTCCAACATTGCCATGGTCTGGTTTAGGTATAACTCAAAATAGCATATAGATACATACTTACCTACACATTAATATCGATGTTTGAAATGCCATGTATTATAACCCACTAAAATATGATTTCACAAGACACTTTAAACATGTTGTTTACCTACATAATAATTTTTTATTGTATGAAATAGAATTTATTTATTCCCTGATACATGAAAAATCAGATGTTTTAAGAATTGAAATTTTATAATAGTTATTTAAATTACTAAAATTTAATAATTTTTTACAATCCCATTTTCGACCAAAACGTGGTTTAAGACAATTGGCCATTTAATCATCGATATAATAACTAAAATATTTATTTTATAAATGTTCTGCTTTTAGGTGTAACTGGTCATTACTCTGGAAAAAAAATTGAAATTGGACCAGAATTGTACAAACAAGGATGTGTTGCTAATATTGAAGAAGGTATCGTGTCCGCTGAAAAGATAGGATACCCAGTTATGATAAAAGCTAGTGAAGGTGGTGGTGGTAAAGGTATAAGGAAAGTGGAAAATACTGAAGAATTCCCAAATGCATTTAAACAGGTATTTTCAAAAACAATTTGAATTATTGAATTTTATATTCAGTTATAATGAAAGTAAACTAATTATTTGCAGGTCCAATCTGAAGTCCCTGGATCACCAATATTTATTATGAAATTAGCTAAATGCGCCAGGCATTTAGAAGTACAACTTTTAGCTGATCAATATGGTAATGCTATATCATTGTTTGGACGTGATTGTTCAATTCAGAGAAGACATCAAAAAATTATTGAAGAAGCTCCTGCAGTGATTGCTGAACCAAGCGTTTTTGAAGATATGGAAAAAGTAATATTTTACTATAGTTATTCTTTTACTGGTTTTTATCTAAGCTATTATATTATAGGCCGCAGTTCGTCTTGCTAAAATGGTTGGTTATGTTAGTGCTGGTACAGTTGAGTATTTATATGACACAGATGGAAACTACTACTTTTTGGAATTAAACCCTAGACTTCAAGTTGAACATCCATGTACAGAAATGGTGTCTGATGTTAATTTACCAGCTGCTCAATTACAAATTTCTATGGGCTTACCTCTTAACTGTATCAAAGACATAAGATTATTGTATGGTGAATCTGCTTGGGGAGATAGCTTTATTGATTTTGATGCACCAAGACATAAACCTCATCCATGGGGTCATGTAATTGCTGCTCGAATTACTAGTGAAAATCCTGATGAAGGTAATTGTTTAAGAACTTAACATATATTAATATTTTATAGTATAAATTGTGTATGGCATGATTAATGTAGCTATTTAACATTTAGCAAACTTGTTTTTAATTAACAGTGAAGTTCACTGCCATAAGAAACTGAGTATACATATTAGATTAGGTAGTTCTACAAATTAATTATATTTTAAAATATTTTCTAGTGTAAATTCTCAGTTTCTGTCTTTTACATGTTTCACTATTTATATTAGATTAGATTAAATTATGTCAAATATATGAGTAACTAAATAGTTGCATGCTTTTGTTACTTAATATAATAGTATAAATCATATTTTTACTAAGGAAGTATTGATATTTGAAGTACTATTAATATTTTATTAGTAATTATTAATATATAATATTACCCAAATCATAAAATCAATTTGTTTGAGTTTATTACATTTATATTATTGTTTACTAGGGTTTAAACCTAGTTCTGGAACTGTTCAGGAGTTAAATTTCCGTTCTTCAAAGAATGTATGGGGATACTTCAGTGTAGCTGCTTCAGGAGGATTGCATGAATTTGCTGATTCTCAATTTGGTCATTGTTTCTCCTGGGGAGAAAATCGAGAACAAGCTAGAGAGTAAGATTATTTAATTAAGGTATATAAAGGAATATATTTTAATCCTACATTTTTGTTTGCTCATTATAGAAATCTAGTTATTGCACTTAAGGAATTATCCATTAGAGGAGATTTCAGAACTACAGTTGAATATTTAATCACACTTCTTGAAACTGAGTCATTCCAGGTATATAATGGTTTATTTTTATATTAATATGTTTTTAAATTTATTAAAATTTATTTCAGTCAAATACAATTGATACTGCTTGGTTGGATTTATTAATAGCAGAGCGAGTACAATCTGAAAAACCAGATGTATTACTTGGAGTCATATGTGGAGGACTTCATATAGCCGATCGTAAAATTTCAGAATCATTCCAAAATTTCCAAACATCTTTAGAACGGTAAAATAATTTAGTTATTATGATAGTTTATTTAGATGAGAAATTAGTAAATGGTTCATTGAATATTATCTAAAAATTATAAAGCTAAAATAATGATCATAAATCACAACATTATTTCACAATATTTACTTATTTAAATAAATTATTGATTGACATTTAACCTGTGTGGTTTTAAATATATATTGCATAACTATAATAACAAATATATGTATATATTCTAATTTTTATTAAAATAATATACTACAAATGCCTAAAACTATTATTTTTGTATTACTAAAAAGAATATGTGAGATAAAAATAATTTATAATTATTCATAATTTATAAGTAAGCTGTATGTTATCCAATTGCTAAAAAAAATGTTTGTCATTCATATTACTTCAGATTTAATAGTATACCAATAAATAATCAGCATAATATTATGATGATTACCAAAATATGTTACCTTTCCAATTAAAATTATCAATATGTTTTACAATTATGTTTATATCATAAATATTGTACAACTTTAAAATCAATTATTTAAATTTAATTCTCAAAACCTAAATATTATTATATTTTATTTTAAATGTTTTGATTATTATAATGTTATTTTTGTTTTCAGTGGTCAAGTATTGAGTGCTAATGCTTTAGACCACCAAGTATCTGTTGAATTAATACATGAGGGATTTAAGTATAAAACCACGGTTACTAAATCTGGATTGAATTCATATTTCCTCATCATGAATGGTTCATTTAAAGAAATTGAAGTTCATCGTCTTTCTGATGGAGGTACACAGTTATTAAATTTTATTTTATTTCTGTTGTATTATATACAATTAATTTTCTACATAAATTTCAGGAATTTTGTTATCCTTGGATGGATCAAGTTTTACTACTTACATGCGAGAAGAAGTTGATAGATACAGAATCGTAATTGGTAATCAGACATGTGTGTTTGAAAAAGAAAATGATCCATCCTTATTACGTTCACCATCTGCTGGTAAATTGATCAGTTTTCTTATAGAAGATGGTGGTCATGTCAAAAAAGGTCAAGCTTATGCCGAGATTGAAGTAAATTTTTATTAAGAACTCTACTGTCTCATTTATTTTTTATAATTTAAATAAATACTAAAGAGTAATAACTAATTTATGGTTTGCTATTTTTAATAGGTTATGAAAATGGTGATGACATTAACAGCAACAGAAAATGGTCATGTTTCTTATAATAAACGGCCCGGTGCTGTGTTAGATGCTGGCTCATTAATTGCAACACTTGAATTGGATGATGCATCATTAGTCACAAAAGCTGTTGAATATAAAGGACAATTTCCTGAACTAGACGGAACTTCACATATTTATGGAGAAAGTCTTAACAATATACATACATGCTACAGACGCATGTTAGATAATATTCTTGCTGGTTTTTGCTTGCCAGAACCATATCATCATGTTCGTTTAAGAGAAGTCATCGAAAAGTTTATGAATTCTCTGCGTGATCCTAGTTTACCTTTATTGGAGTTGCAGGTAAGGCATTTTAATTTTTATAGCTTGAAAATTAAATAATGAAACTTATTATTATAAATTTTAACAAAATTATTAGGAAGTTATATCATCAATATCTGGTAGAATTCCAAAAGCTGTCGATAAAAAAATTAAATCATTAATGAAGCTATATGAAAGAAATATAACATCAGTTCTTGCACAATTTCCTAGCCAGCAAATAGCTGCTATTATTGATGGGTGAGTAAATATTATAAATGCTCAATTTTTATTACATTTTTATTTTAATTATCAACAATAGTCATGCTGCAACCTTACAAAAACGAACAGATCGTGATAGTTTTTTCCAAACCACCCAAGGAATTGTACAACTAGTGCAAAGATATAGAAACGGAATTCGTGGACGAATGAAGTCTGCTGTTCATGAATTATTAAAACAATATTATGAAGTGGAAAGTCAATTTCAACATGGTAAAGAATATATGTATATATATATATATATATACATATATTAATTTTTTTTTTTTAATTTTACTATAATTAATTAAATTTTTTTTTGCAGGAAGTTATGATAAATGTGCTACAGCTTTAAGAGATAGGTATAAAGATGATATGGCTGCTGTTACTTCAACTATATTCTCACATACTCAAGTGGCAAAGAAAAATATGCTAGTTACAATGCTAATTGATCATTTATGGGCCAATGAGCCTGGATTAACTGATGAGTTAGCTGCTACTTTAAATGAACTGACATCACTTAATCGCAGTGAGCATTCAAGAGTTGCTCTTCGTGCACGACAAGTTAGTACACTTAACAATTTACATGCTTTAATCGTATTTGTAGTATTTAAATGTTATGAGATACATAATAATCATAGTTTTAATATATTTTTAATAAAATTATGTGTTATATTTGTTATTTAGGTACTTATTGCTGCACACCAACCAGCATATGAATTAAGGCATAACCAAATGGAATCAATATTTTTATCTGCTGTTGATATGTATGGACATGATTTTCATCCTGAAAACTTACAAAAACTTATCCAGTCAGAAACTTCCATATTTGATATTCTCCACGATTTCTTTTATCATTCTAACCGTGCAGTTTGTAATGCTGCATTAGAGGTATTATTAATTAAAATTTAATATGCCCAAAAATAAATAAAATATAATTAAAAACTTAATATTATTGTTCTATTGGAATTAGGTTTATGTAAGACGTGTTTACATATCGTATGATCTTACGTGTTTACAACATTTGGAACTGTCTGGTGAAATATCATTAGTTCACTTCCAATTTCTTTTGCCTTCTTCCCATCCTAACCGGTACGTTAATAATATTTTAATTAAACCTGTCTAGCAAATATAATAATTGTTTTCATACTTAGGCAACAAAATAAGATTAATTCTGTATCTACTGAAAACTTGGAATCACCAACTAAAACTCCATTACCATACATTCCAACATATCATAGAACCGGCTGTATGGCTGCATTTGAATCATTTGCTCAATTCGAACAATACTTTGATGAAATTCTTGATATTATGGAAGATCTGTCTACTCCTGTGACTATGCACCAAAAAATTATTGATGCCTTAGAAAGTGGTAGTGAATCTAGATTGAGCTCTTCTCTTAATGTGAGCTTAAATCTTGGTGACGTCCGACCGGCAGACCAAGAAAATCTTCAGGTATATTGTTTTGAAATTTATTTGAATCATTACTAAAAATATTTGTGTTTTTGTTTACAGATGGAACCTTGTCACATTTTGTGCATAGCTATGAAAGATACTGGAAATATGGAAGATGATAAACTTGGCAAGATGTATGAAGAATTTTGTCAAAAACATAGAGAGGAATTGAAGAAAAGATTAATTCGAAGAATCACGTTTTTGGCTTTAAATAAGTAATCTAGAGCAATATTTATAATTTAGAGAAATTGACATATTTAACTATACATGATTGTAGAAAATTAATGTTAATTTATTGCCTTCAATGGTATAATAATAATAATATATATGTAGATAGATAGTTAAAGTAAATTAACTTGTATGGAAAATTTCTTTTATACGCGAGCTAACTAAAATAATTATTTACAATTATAATTAAATAATAGAAAATTTTATGTTATTGATTGTAATAAAACTGTAAGTAATTTAGATATTTTCTTTTACTACACAGTACTTATTTAATCATCAAATTTTAAATTATAATTTTATACGTTTTATTAATCATAATATTATTTCTAAAATGCATCCTTTTAAATATTCATTAATAATTATAAAAAATTATTCATTAATATTAAATTTGTGGCCTTGTACATTATAGAAAAATTAAAACAGTGATTAAATTATCTTTATTTTACAATGTCTATATTGAAGAATAATTCAAACCTGTATTCAATTATAGCTTTTAATATATTAAATCATTATTGAAAACTCATAATTTTAAACTAATAAAAATATATACATTTTTATAGTGGATTAAATTTTTTTTTTAAAATGTTTCTTTTTATATTAATTTTTAGGAGACAATTCCCTAAATTATTCACCTACAGAAACTATGATAATTTTGGAGAAGATAGAATTTATCGGCATTTAGAGCCAGGTATGGCTTTCCAATTAGAATTGAATAGAATGAGAACTTATGAATTAGAAGCGTTACCAACATCAAATAGAAAAATGTATTTATATCTAGGAAAAGCGAAGGTTGGTTTAAATATCAAAACAATTATTTAATATTCAGTAAATTAATTTATTTATCTTTCAAATAGGTCCCAAGAGGTCAAGTAGTAACTGATTATCGATTCTTCATACGTTCAATTATAAGACATCAAGATTTAATTACAAAAGAAGCTTCATTTGAATATCTCCAAAATGAAGGAGAAAGAGTATTATTGGAAGCAATGGATGAATTAGAAGTTGCTTTTAGTCACCCTCACGCGCGTAGAACAGACTGTAATCATATATTTTTGAATTTTGTCCCCACTGTTATAATGGATCCTGGAAAAGTAAATATACAAATAAATAGTTTATATTGAAACTTATTAAAATACATATTATTTATGTGTTTAGATCAAAGAAAGTGTCACTAATATGGTCATGAGGTATGGCCCACGTCTTTGGAAACTACGAGTTCTTCAAGCTGAACTTAGAATGACAATACGACCTACACCAACAAGTAAAACTTCAAATGTCCGCCTTAGTCTTGCTAACGGTAGTGGTTATCATTTGGATATTTGTCTGTACAAAGAAATTACTGATTCTAAATTGGGGATGGTAAGAACATGGACACATCATTTGTGACTATATTTTACTTACCTGATATGAACTACATTGATTAATGTACATTGGTTTATTATCTTGTTTTTTAATCAATTTTAATTTTAATATAATCTATTTTTAATATTATTATGATATCTTTTAATGATTGTCTTAAGTTCAAAAAACTCATAATTTATTTAATTTTAAAGATTAAATTTGAATCATATGAATCAAAGCAAGGTCCTTTGCATGGACTCGCCGTTTCTACACCATATGTTACAAAAGACTTTTTACAACAAAAAAGATTCCAAGCCCAAAGTGCTGGCACAACATACGTGTATGATATTCCTGATATGTTTAGACAGATGATTGAAACTATCTGGCAAGAATATATAGCAGAACATCCAAATGGTAATTAACATTAATTTTGTATTCATATTATATTTTATTATTTTATTTTTATTATTTTATTTTTTATTCAATTATAATTTTATTTTAGATGGAGTGTTAAAAAATAATATATTATTTGATTATGTTGAACTTGTTGTGGAAGATAATCATATAATTGAACAAAAGCGTTTCTCAGGTGAAAATACCGTAAGTATTTTTTTTTATTATACCTTTTTAGATTTGTTCTATGTATGATTATGGTCTGTATATTAACTAATGTTATATTAGGCTGGCATGGTTGCTTGGAAATTTACAATGAGTACTCCTGAGTATCCTTCTGGTAGAGACATCATTGTAATCGCTAATGACTTAACAGTAAATATTGGTTCATTTGGTCCACAAGAAGACATTGTATTTGATTTGGCATCTAAAGAAGCTAGGAGAAGAAAAATTCCACGTATTTATATATCTGCTAATAGTGGAGCTCGTATTGGTCTTGCAGAAGAAATAAAAAGTTTGTTTAATGTGGCATGGGAAGACCCATCAGATCCAGAAAAAGTAAATTAATATAATTTTAAAATTGTCCTTTTTATATTTTTTGCATATGTAATTTTTATCATACATTTAACTATATATTTTAAAATTTAGGGATTTAAATATTTATATTTAACACCAGATGACTACGGTAAATTAGCTGGACAAAATTCAGTTGAAGCTGAATTGATTGAAGATGAAGGGGAACCACGATACAAATTAACTGACATTATTGGTACAAATGATAAACTAATGGTATAAAATATAAAAAATATTTGTTATATATGTATTTTGTAAATAGGAAAGGAGTTTGGTTATGGTGTTGAAAATTTAAAATTTGCTGGAATGATAGCCGGGGAAACATCTCGTGCTTATCAAGATATTGTTACTATTTCAATGGTATCTTGTCGTGCTATTGGTATTGGAGCTTACCTTGTACGACTTGGTCAAAGAGTTATTCAAATCGAAAACTCTCACATTATCCTTACAGGATATAGTGCCTTGAATAAGGTTTATTTTTAAATTATTCTTTTTAGTCTGACATTTTTTTAATATTATATAATATAATAAAGAACAATATGTTGTAGCTTCTTGGCCGTGAAGTATATGCATCAAACAATCAATTAGGTGGCATTCAAATTATGTATAACAATGGTGTTTCTCATAAAACTGAAGCTAGAGACTTAGATGGTGTATATAGAATTTTAAAATGGCTCTCTTACATTCCAAAGACTAAAGAATCTCCCTTGCCTATAATAAACAGTGTGGATCCTGTAGAAAGAGATATAGACTATGTACCAACTAAAGTTCCATATGATCCTCGTTGGATGATTGCTGGAAAAGAAGATTCAAGTTCGTCTTAATAAATAAAATATATACATATTATTATTTTATTATATATTATCTAATATAATTTATTTAGATGGCCATTGGGAGTCTGGATTTTTTGACAAAGGATCTTGGGATGAAATAATGCAACCGTGGGCACAAACTGTTGTATGTGGAAGAGCGAGACTTGGAGGAATTCCAGTTGGTGTTATTGCTGTTGAAACGAGAACAGTAGAAGTTGTTTTACCAGCAGATCCTGCCAATTTAGACTCTGAATCCAAAGTAAACATTCTAACATCATATAATACTTCTTTTTTATAGCTATTTATAAAAATTAATTTAATATGTACTTATGTATATTAGACTGTCTCACAAGCTGGACAAGTATGGTTTCCAGATTCTGCTTATAAAACGTCACAAGCTATTAAAGATTTTGCTCATGAAGATTTACCACTTTTCATTTTTGCTAACTGGAGAGGATTTTCTGGTGGAATGAAAGGTATTTTTTTAAATTTTTTTTTTTTATTAAAATGTTTGATTTAAAACCTGGAATACATTTATTTATTTTATATACATATTTTTGTATTTGTCAGATATGTATGAACAAATTATGAAATTTGGTGCTTATATTGTTGATGAACTAAGACAATACAATCAGCCAATTATTACGTATATTCCACCATTTGGTGAGTTACGAGGAGGTGCTTGGGCTGTTGTAGATACTACTATTAATCCAAGACACATTGAGATGTACGCGGATCCAGATAGCAGGTAATGTTTGAAATATAAGATTTGATTTGATAAAGAAGTAAATATAATTATGTAAAGCAATTTTGTTATATACATTTTATTATTATAGTTTCTCATATCATAAAATATTATGTCTATTTACAGAGGTGGTATTCTAGAACCAGAAGGAATTGTTGAAATTAAATTCCGCGAAAAAGATATATTAAAATCTATTCACAGAATTGATACGAATATTTTGAGTCTCAAAGCGAACACTAATCCTACCCCTGAACAAGCTATAGAAATTGAGAAGGATGTTGCTGACAGAGTTTCTGTATTGAAACCTATTTTTCATCAAGTTGCAGTGCATTTTGCTGACTTGCATGATACACCAAAATGCTTACTGAGTAAAGGTGTTATAAAAGATATTGTAGAGTGGAAGAAATCTCGTAATACATTATATTGGCGACTGAAAAGACGTTTATTACAAAATCAAATACAAAAAGTCATCACAAAATCAAATGATGCTATTCAAGATGATGTTGCCTATGAAATGTTAAGAAGGTGGTTTGTTGAAGACAAAGGCACCACAGCTGTAAGTACAATTTTATTTATTATATAATTCTTAATTAATATGTATTAATTTAAAGTTCAAACAAATTAAAATAAAAACCTTGGTATTCCTTGTATGTATTAATAATATTCATCTTGATCTTACATGAACAACAGTATGATTTATTGGATAAATTATAATCTTTAATATACTATTTCTATGTTCTTATAAGTTTTTTATTATTGAAATCACTTATTTATTTTAATTTTTAAAAGAAATAACAGTTTTATAACTTTTTACCAAAATCATAAAAGTGAATCATTCTAGTGTATATTTTAATACTTAATTTACAACTATATATTTGTTACCAAGGTTGAATTTCAATAACTATTACTAGTAATACTGAATAAAATATTAGATTTTATTTTGTTATTAATAATTTATGATTAATAAAGTTTTATTTTGAATACCTTTATTATAATATATTTATTTTTTTTGCTTATAGTCTTATCTATGGGACAACAATCAAGCTGTAGTTCAATGGCTAACAAGTCAACTTAATGAATCTGATGGTACGATCTTACCTGATTCATTGATTGCTAACAACATTAAAAGTGTTAGAAAAGATGCAGTCATAAATCAAGTCAAATCTACAATTATTGTACGTATTATTAAAATTTATCATACACGATTAATTATTTTATTTGAAAGTAATTGTTTTTTATTTTTATCATAGAATACGCCTGAAGTTACTTCAGATATAATTATGGGCATGTTCCAAAGCTTATCTGAAATGCAGCGTCTTGACTTGATTCACAATTTGACCCAGTTAACGGGTATTGGAAATGTGAATTTAAATAGTTGATTACTTTTTACTATAAGCAGTTATTGTTGTTTATTTCAAAATATATACATAATAAAACAAAACATATAAATATATGTACTTTTATACATATATATTTATATTACTTTAAAATACATTAGTTATTCCTGTATATTTCTGAAAAACAAAATTAATAATGTTAATTACCATATTTCACAAAATTATTATAAAAATGAATAACCTACATGGTATTGAATTTTAAATTATAAATTAAATTTTTTTAATATTTAATTTATTTTTATGAACAAATAATGCTGTCTTCAGTTTTATTATGTAGTACATAGTATATTTCTACAATAAATTGTATAGTGTTTATTTATATTTTATTCCTTTTTCATGACATTTCGTAATACAACAATTTTATTACTCTAAAATATTATTTTATTGCTACATTATATGGGTATATAATAAAAAATAATATAATTGCAAATAGTCATTTTAAAATAGTGTTGTAAATGTTTAATGTTTAATGTGAATCATTATACTATTATAAGGTTTCTTTTTAATAAAAATATTAATATTTATAGATTCAAAAATATATGCAAGTATCAAGATAAATAATTTAAAAAATACTTTTCGTAAATAAATGTATTCGGTTTTTCTTATTAATATTATTAAAAATAACAGACAATGGACCAAATGGAACTAACCAACATAATAATTTCAACCTACAATGGTGTATATAGAGAGGATTCTAGGAATTCATTCCCCCTCCCCCCCCAAATGTATGATTTTACAATGTGCAAACTTATAGTACCCAACCACACAGCAAAGTAAAAAAAAAAAAAAATTACAAACGTATAAATACAATATTTAATTTAAGTGATTCAACGAAATATAATATGATACTAGTATCATCAGTGCTCGACTTGGTAAAATTAAAGAAGGGGGACTCTACTTACTTTAAAAAAAAGAGCGTCTCCAAGACTGGCTGAATGTTATGATTATAGCGTAATAATAGTAGGGGGACGCTAACATTTCTGAAAATTAGTTGGGGTACTCCGTCGCCCTGCGTCCCCACTCAAGTCGAGCACTGAGTATCATAAAGTATAATATATTTATTAAATATATTATTTTTGTATACGCCTCTTCCTCTTCAAAGTAATAATGCCTATACAAAAGAGTACCCAAGAGGGAGGTTTGGGTCCCATTGAAATTTCTACATACTCAACGATTTAATAGTAAATAGTATATTAATAGTATATAGTATATTTTAATTTGCTCATCAAATAATAAATTGATACTTGAATTTGATAAATATTTACATATCAAACGTATATAGTTTATGAGATTATGTCATGCTATTTCTTTGACATTAAAATATGATATTTCAACAAATCTTATACAACTTATAAGATTATATAATAAGATTTCAGTTATATGCCTACAAATAACATAAACTATTAAATATTTCAAAACTATGAAATAGTTAAAATTTTGTAACGCATATAAATTATTTCTTTAAATTTCTAATAATTCGAGTTTCAATTGATATTTTAAGATTTTTTTCGCATTTTTTTTTCTTTTAATTAAGTATTTAGCGAGCTATTAAAAAATTCAAAAAATTATCTCTCAAAAGTTCCAACTAAAACCTAATTCCTATCTTTTATTTTTTATTTGGTGATTGGAGCACTCTTGGTCAAACCTCCGTCGTTTACACAGATAAACCAAAAACATTATGGTAAAATCATAATATATTCTTTGTTTTACTCAAAATCTAAAAATAATAATAATTAATCAAGATATATATTTAAAACCATATATCTTAAATAATTTTCTGTCTCCCTATTTAGTTTTGTGCTCTGCAACTTTTTTACACCCCCTGCCCAATTTAATGCATTTTTTATTCTAAATGTATTCTAAAATATCTTTCTAAACTTTGAAGTAATTTAAATTCTCATTGCTTTTTAATAGAAACCATTTCTTTTTTATGTATACATGAGTTCTGAGCTAAAGTAAACTCGTAAATCCTTTGTTGAATCACCCTACTTTTCTATTGTAAAAGTTAATTCTTCATGTATTTTGAGTTCTTGGCTTTTTGCAGATTTAGTTATATTTTAAATTACAATTTTCATATTTGACAAAGGAATTAGGTACCAAACTAGATACTTCAAGTAATCGGAAATATTAATTCTTTATACTAAAAGTTGCAGCTGATCACGACAGTTATTTTTGATGGCCTAATAGGTATAATATGACTGTTTATTGTCATTATATTTTACTAGTGATAATATTACAACGCTATAATTACGTTTTGCTAAATTTTACCAGCGATATTTTTTCGTGGTACCGCCTTAAAAAAATAAATTTTGTGTAACTTTGTTTACTTATACGTGTAAAATAATATATGGTGTGAATAAAAAAACAAATATTGTACCTCATTATTTTTTATTACGGTTACCAGTCAGAAATGTCATTATTAGTTGTCCATAGTTGACTGATTATAATTGAACATTTTCTCTAATTTAGTGTAAATATACCTATACTTATATGTCCTTGAACATTTTTAAATTATATCAGTTTTCTATTATTCGTTCTAAAAAACAAAATCTTAGTCTATTCTGACAGGTGTTTGACAGTTTGACATTTAAGTTGGAGTGATACTTGGCAATATTTTTCAGAATACCAATGGTTATAATCGTAAACCTAACCTACATAATTATATAGTTTATAGTTGGCAGTTGTAACACAAGTTATCTAAAATACGATTATCTACGTCCTAAAATACATTTTCATTATGAGTGGAACAAGTCATGAACATTTAATCCTTACGAAAAATAACATTTTTTTTTTTTTTAGGATGCTATAATTTTACTTTTTTATGTTTAACTAGTAATTATGTTATTAATAACTTGTGTACACTCCTCATTTATTTATTTCATTATGCTTCAATAGTTAGTGCACTCAAACCGGATCTATGTAGGAAGGCGAGTCAGATGTTTTATATTAAGGCCCTCAGGATCCTTTTAAAATTCTTTATAAAAGTTATTGTATTATATTGGTTAGGTTTTATGAATAATTGTGTTACTTTTTTTAAAATAACAATAAGACTAACAGTATTTTTTTTATCGTGCAAATGAAATGATGCTATCGTTTTTGTTTGAAAAAACATTTATCTAATCACAGTTTTTATGATTCATAGTTATACAATATTTTTTTAGAATAAATTTTGATTATCTTTTATTTTCTATGGTACCTATAGGAACATAGTATAAGATATTTTGCCTGTGCTGGTTCCAATACGAATAGCAAACTGTCGTAGAGTACTTACTCATAAATAGTATAGAAATTAATTTAAACGTAAGATACCTCCACGAAATGTTTTAAATGGGATCCTATCAGGGGTTTATTTAAGGGGTGGGCCCGTAGAACCCGTGCCTCCTCCATTCACCGTATTTTATATTTTATTACTGTAGGCCCTCTTATTTTTCACGCACGGGCACACATCAAAATACTGGAATAACAATATATCATGATAATATGATACCATTGATTAAATGGATTAGCATTGCTTAAGCAACACCCTGAAAAAATTATAAAACCTGAAGAAGTAGTTGATGCATATACTAATAAACACCCCAGACGTCTTCAGTTATTGTAATTACAAAAATTATATTTAAAAATATGTTTTATTATAAATTTATGTAATAACATTTAATGTTTCTATCAAACACTTGTATTTTGATTATTTCGTTATGAATAACGACAGTTTTTTGAAGTGAAAAAGTTATAATTATGTATACTTTGAACTTTTTGTTTGTGTCCCCCCTCCCCTTATAAGACATTTTTACAATTTCTAATTTCTAAGATCCTACAATTTAAGTCTAAGAGTAAGGGGCCCATATTTTAACTGATATTGCTCAAATCAAATGCAACCTATTCTAAAATATTTGGTAAAAAATGTTATGTTTTTTAAATTATTTATACATTATATTTTATTAAATATACCTACACGTTTTGTTAAGATAGGGCCCAAAAGTATAGTAAGTATAGCACGCCTATGTATCATTTATATAACTCATGATATATTCAATACTCATTATCATGAGTTCATATACACTATACGGTAAATTTTTAAAAAGGAAAAACATTTAACTCTAAAAAAAAAAAAAAATTATATTTTATTCATATTTGACCTATAAAAACTTAATCCAACTAACTTAAAAATGATTGTATCATTGAGCATACGCGACAAAAAATGTTTATGAATAAGAATAGGTAATATTTAGTGTTTTTTAAATTTTTATAACTCCCGTCTAGTCAGTGACGCAACTAGCGGATAAGTTGGCGAATTGAAACCTTAGGGCCCCTGATTTATCAGGGACCCTTTAATAAGGTGAACGGTGGACAAACAATAAAAGTTGATTTTATTTTCTATATTTTATTATTAACATATATGTTTAGTATAAAATGATATATGTATACTATAAAGTATAATTATACTGTTGTTTTTATTTTTAAGTCTTAAGTGATTGTATAATATATTTAACTTTACCAGTAACAGTTTTTGGTAAAAACTATTTAAATATTTTGGACCAAAATTAAATGATGAAACTGCAGTATTACATTTTGCATTTTATGATTCTTAAATACAAATAATTTTTCTGTTATAATATTTAGATATGTTGTTTGTAATTTTTATGTTGTGTATAAAAAACTATAATTCAAACTTTAAATTTTTACTTCGTATGAAAAATGTAATAGTTTTTTACCAACAAGTTTTGCTACCATAATATTAAATCCTTCTACAGCATTATTATTTACATTGCTAATTAAACTTTGCTTGTGATAGGATATAATATTTTTAGTTCCTGATACATCTGCCCATACACCACAAGTTTTCATTTGAGGCACTCAATCAATTTCTATTTCTCTTGGTCCAGCACAAAAATAACTAAGAACGATTTTTATTACCGAAACACCAATTATTCATTTTTATCACAAAAAAACAACAATCGGCAGTAAGTTAATTTGAAAAAAAAAAATATAAATGTTACATGTATTGAACACGATAATTTACTGAACGCATAGTCCATATCCTTATATGTCTATGTAAATTATATATATTATACTGCTATATTATGTCGATCTAAGAGATGTAATTGATTTCTCGTCATCCGTATAAAAGTCACCGACTCAATTAGATTCTTTAATTCTCGGAACCAAGGCCGGATTAAGGGAGGTTTATCCGGGGTGGCAGCTCCGGGGCCATCTCAAGTACCCAAGTGAAAAGGGTCCATACAATATTAAGCTAATACACATTTTATATCGTACTAGAATTAGTAGTTTTATAGACATAAATTATATATAGCTATTAATTTTATAATGCAATTGACAATTTGTGAAATAGTTCAAAAAAATGTTTCGTTTTGTGAGCGTAGCGAGCAGCTTTGTATGGCATATTTTGTCAAAAGGGCCAATATAAAATTTCAACCCCTGGGCCCAATAGGTGCTTAATCCTGCCTTACTAGGAACTACATAGTGTACCAATGCATGGTTTCACATCACTCAATTTTGAGATTAAAAATGTTTCAACTCGGTAGCGGCTTTGAAAGTCCCATAAAGCAAAATAAAAATTCGCCCAATATCAAAAGCTCGATTATAATTTTGAAAACATATTTTAATTTCTTATTCTCTTTTCTAGGTTGTGTAGGAATTACATTTTCATTTTTATGTATTGTTTAATTAATATAGTACCAGATTTAAATTCTTCTCTAAAATACAGACACGGAGTAAAAAAATTCAAATATTTTTTCAAAATTAAAGTTGAATTTCTGGAAGTATATTTTTTTTCTTCCGCTTAATGTTTGAAAAACCGGCCTACTTTCAACTCAACAAATTTATTATATTTAAAAAACAATTAGCTCATAGAATGGCTTTTTATTTTATGAAATTATTAACGATGCAATGGTTTTGATTACTTTGTGGGAGGAGAGGAAGCGGTGTTTAAGATTGTTTAAGACTATTTACATTTTTGGATGGTGGCCTCATTATATATTTGGGTGTTGGGCCTCCAAGTGCCAAGATGTGCCATTGCGCAGGAATAGAGCCAATGGTGTTCGAATTTCGCATCTTGTTTAACGTCACGTTGAAAATGAAATAATAAGTCAAAGAACCAAACGTTACGATAAACGTTTTATTTGCAATCGATAATCGAACGTTCCGAATTCAGTATAGGCTTTCCGGCTTTTCAGCGTTCCGACTAGGACTTACGATCCGTAGTTGTTTTTCGTACCCGCGAAACGGTTTTTACGAACGATTAATGAACGGGGGGGGGGGGCTTTCCGCAGGGGATTCTTCGATACGTCCCGAGCACGAGGTGGCGGCGACACACTCGTTTTAACGGAGCCACCGCTGCATTGAACGTGTTGTTTGGTAGTGTCGGTGCGCGTAAAACGGTACATACAAACGTCCCGTCGCGTTGTCGGCTCGGGTAAATGTTTCACCGCGTCGAAAACCGACCCGACGGCCGCCGCGAAAACGGAGCGTAAAACGATAGTGCCGTGAACGTTGGCGTTGATATTTTCGCCACGAGCCGGACGGAAAACGATGTGCCGGCCCGGCGGTTCGCGTAGGAAGAGAAGGGGCGACGGGCGGTGAACGGCTTCGACGAGGAGCCGCGCGCGCTCGTACCGACCCGGCCGGCCGCCCGTCCAGTCAGTGGCCCGGTCCGTTTCGCGCGCGGCACATTCGTGTTCGGCGCGCGGCCCCGTCAACCGTATACGTGCACGCGCGTATCGATCGCGCGCGTGATGTTTTCCGCGTAAACGGTTATCCCGTCGGCGCACCCGACCACCGTACCGCACCGCACGAGAGCGCTACCGGCGCTCCCCCCCTCCCCCTTGTCCCGGCGGAGAAAAGCGTAGGCGCCGCGGCACACGAGTACACGAACGAGTCGGATCAATTTGAACAACGCGCCCGGCCGAGCGGTACGACGCTGCGAACCCGTCTTGGCAATTAACCGCGCTCGGCGATAGATCATCGTTCGGCACCCGCGCCGTTCTAGTCCGGCTGACCGCACCACGCGGGGTTACCACGGCAAACAGGTGCAGTGAATTATTAAATCGACTTTTTTTTTTCTATTTTTTTTTTTTTATTATTAAACCGGCGTTACCACTACGCGAGGTTGGGATTTGCGATCGGCGCGAGTATATTCCACACCGTAGACACTTCGATCGTTTTGTCAAAACCACCAGGTGTACTATTCACGTTGTTTTCTGTTTGTTGGTCAACGTGTTCGGGTAAACCTGTACCGACGCGACGGGTGTCTTCCGTGCACGAGGAAGTGTACATACTTCTCATTAAGTTACCCTTGAATCTCGTTGAATCTCGTTGGTGTCGTAATGTCAGTATCTAATTTGCGCGTAGGTGTACCTTAACTTAATACATCACATCCTGGATTGCCTTCCGAGTGATCGACGACATTGACTATTATAGTAATTACTACGGAAAAAATACCTGAACATTGAATCCAAATGAATCGTCCGTGTTAGTTGAATACGAGGTTGAATATTTGCAATTGATTAATTCTTACTATCCGAGATTGATCATTAATCAGCGCGTTTCAGCCGTTCTTTAAAATATATTAATAGGCATGTGACGTTCTTCGTCTATTTTTCTATAACATTTATGACATTCTTCTCTTTACAAACACCTTTTTAGAAAGTAATTTTTATCTTGGAACTAAAATTATTAGTGCATGACACATAGTATAAAATTTAAGTAATCTATATGAAAAACTTGATGAAGGGTACATTCTATAGTTATAGTATGTTTAGTTTTGAAAGTTGCGTACTATACAATTCATATTATGTCGGGATTTTTGTATTGGATTTTATTGTCTATATTATTTTCATTACGTGTAAAAATGTATAATAAGAATTATGAGAAAATACAAATTTAAATTACATTTTTTAAAATCTTTACTTAAATTTTTACTAACGTCAAATAGTTATACAAATTATTTTTAATATAGGTATCGTAATATCTAACTAGATTAAATTAAAAAAAAAATACATTTCAAATCACAAAAGTAAATTTTTACTTAGAACATGGTACACGCATGGTGGTTGCAGGATGTGCTCTCCTCCCCCCGAAATATTTTAAATGAGATACTACAATTCAACTCTAAGAATAAGGGACCGTTTTCAGTAAGGGCGTATTTTAACTGATGTTGCTCACATTAAATGTAATTTATTCTAAAATATTTGGTAAAAAATAATTGATGTTTCATAAAAGAAAAAAATGTTCGAAGCTTATTAAAATATAATTGACTACAAAAGTACAAATCATAAATAATTAAAGCTGTTTGAGAAAAATATACAAGATTCAAAAAAAACATATTCATTGGAAAAAATTTACCGTAATATTAAAAAAGTTATGCTATTTTAAATATTTATGCATTATAATTTATTAAATATACCTACAGGAGCCCAAAAGTATTGTAATCACTACTGAAGTATATGTTCGTGTATGCCTATGACCTAGAACTGATAAATTAATATTGAACATTTATTTTTTATCGGTAGAATATCTATAGAAAATTATATATTTAAAGATCTGAATATTTGAATAGCAATTTAATTCAATGTAATTTAATAAGAAATATTTTTAAAGTCGTGAAAAAGTTCTATAGTGATAAATGTCTTTGGATCGAAAAACATTGATATCTTATTACATTATAGAAACCCGATTCAGAGTGAAGTTTCAAGTTTGTATACAGTGTATTTTCAGGCCACAATAGCCACTTAGAGAAATTTGACCATTTTTTGAAATAGAAACCTTTTATTGAAATGGAAACCATTTTTTATTTCTTGTATTACTTTAGTGAAGTTTGTAAAAAAATACATAGTTAAACGAATTGTTCAGGTATTTTTTTTACAATTCTGCTTTTCAATTTGTGTCATATAGTGTTAATTTTCAAATAAAACTACTTAAATTGTATTACCACAAATAGAGCTTATAACAATTTATTTAATTTTACTATTTAAGATTATATTAGATTATTATTAATAAAATAGTTAAGATTTCAGTCTCTTTTGAAACGCTTCATCAATATTTATAATTAGAAAATAAAATTTCATTTTACAATACTTAACCAAAAGTCAGAATTCTGTTACAAACTTTTGTCAAATGTAAATGAACACATTTATTAATTAATTTATATATCTATCAATTGTTATTTTACCAATAACTAAGGAACCAAAAATAGGTTAAATTAGAAACCTTCCAAACATTCCTGTTTATGGCACAGGTTTACCCCTTGAATTATCTTTATGTAACTATAAAAATGTTTATCCAATGGTAAAATGTATAATAAATTATAAAACTGTTTTTGCAAATTTGTACAGTAACCATTCAAATAATTATGTTTACTACATTAGTTATAATATTGAAATAAACATACCTATAAATACATTTTATTATACAAATCAGGCGACAATGACCAACTTAATGAAGAATGATAAAATTACATTAAGTCAAATTGTATCGTTTCTTTTATGAAAAATTATCCACTTTTTTCTTTTTACTAAGTCTCAATCAATTGTTTCTATTTTGTCTAATTTTCAACTTTCACAAAAAGAACGATTTCTGTGTTTGGTACCTAGATTTATTAAATAAATTATTTGTCAGAAAATTCAAAATCTAAAAAAACAAATAATTTTTAACTCGCGAAGAAGAATGGATAAAAAAAAGTTTATAGATAGATCCAATTTTGTCTACTAATTGCTTTAGTTTTATTCAGAATCTAAAATATTATTATTACTGTTTTATTTTAGAGAAATAATTATTTAAGAGATTATTATTAAAAATCCTATCTGAAGTATTGTTTATCAAATTATTGTTTTTGATTTAATTATCTACAGATATTTGTTACTTTATGTAAGTAAATAATTTACTAGGAATAACAGTGAATTTAAAGCCAGGTTAAATATTTTGACTTATTGAAGGAACTTCTCTTTGATGGGCGTAGATTCTTAAATTAGTCCATATAAGATATATTTATGAAGTTTAACTTACTAAGATGTAATTTTAATGACATGTTTTAACTACTTATACATATATCATCTATGTATAATTTTGTTATATTAGCGTAATAGCGTGTAATTGGACTTTAATCCATCACATATTTAAAAATTTATTAGTATATACCTCTTAAGATATTTAATATGAACAAAAAAATATTCTTATTACAAATTTAGGATGAGTGGCTCAGTAGACTAATAAATCAACCTATTTAATATAGACAGTGGAAGACAGTGGTACAAATACAAGATCAAACTCGCTAATAATCAATAACTATTGTTAACTATAACAAGATTAAAAACGAATATGATTTTTATGTATATTCTATAATGAATTTATGCTTTTGCTAATTTACATGAATGTGTTTTTATTTTCAGCAAAACTATCATGAAAGAACCTCCTCCGACCGATTGGCTTATGATCATCGGAATATGTTTCATAAGTAGCTGTATTTTAATCGGAGTACTAAGTGTAATTTGTTGCTTTTGGTCAAAATGTTTGCTATACAATTGTTGCCGACCAAACTACAATAATACTCTTATTATTTCGTATGGTAAATAAACACAATATTTCTATTATTGTTATTTTTATTAAATTATTACTAATTAATTGATAGCTAACCAAATTAAAATATAATAGGTGACATAATAAAATTGATTAAAACAATAACACTATTACTAAAAATAAATAACAACGAAGTTTATAATGAAAATATTTATAAAAATTACTTGCTTGAATCGATTTTTAAATAATATATGTTTTATAATCATAAACAATAATCAAAATATAATCTTTTTAAAATTTATTGATAGGTATCGGGTTTCTTATTGTTATTTCAAACTTTTTTTTAAAAAAACGTATAACGAGAATAAAAAAAAAATATATATATATATGCAGACTTGGGTAAAATACTTTTTAGAAGTATTTAGAATAAATACTCGAATACTTACAAAAAATAGTATTTCGAATATGTATTTAAATACTTTATAAAAATTGTATTCCGAATACATTATTTAGAATACTTCAAAAGTATTCCGAATACTTTTAAAATACTTCTAGTTTTCATACTATAAAAATAATAGATATCCATTCAACAGAAGTATTTGAAATTTTAGGCTAAATATATGTTATTTCATTGTATTTTTATATTACACAATTGTTATAGTTTATGGTTTACAACAATAATAAATACCGGATATTAGATTATACAAGATACGACGGAGAAGTAATAAAATCATTTAAAAAAGAGATGATTTAACAGTATTCGAAATATAGTATTCAGAATACTCGTTATAAGTATTTAAAAAGTATTATGAATACAGTATTCCAAATATTGTATTCGGAATATTACCCAAATATGTATATATGTGTATTAAAAACAAGCTGTTGAACAAATTAAGAATAAAACAAAGATACTCTTCAAATTGCCAATAATCTAAAACTAGTACATTGTTAGATTTAAAGTAATACTTTATTTTTTATTGAAAATAACTGCCCGGTGGCTGGGGCCATTGGTTTTACAAATAATATTTACAAGCAAATTTAGTTGTATTTTATTAAATAATTAAATGTGTAATATTTATTTATTTATTGATTAATGCGTTAATTTTTTTTAGTAACATTTGTTTCGTTGGTAGTCATTTAGTTATTATTTCCTATTTTTTTTTTTTTTTTTTTTTTTTTGACCGGTTTATTTACATGCGTGGTTTTTATAAATAAATAAGCTGAATTCTGAAACTTTCTAAGTATGTAGGTAGTGAGGTGTTTATTAACCCGTCATTGGTACACATGTGAACGTGCCGCTACACAGATAGCATTTCAAGCGTTATTCATACAAATATCGAATTAATTATATACCATAAATACCTTAAAATATCATGTTTATCAATATTTACCAAATTAAATTAAAGCGTTATTTTTTATTTCCGATAAGTTATCGTTTGAAAAATTTGAGAATACCAATTAAGTGAGTTTGGCACTGACACTGCACTAACCACGCAATATTTTTATCGCCTATATAATCGATTACGTGCTCGTGTTTCTATTTTTTTTTTTTCAATAATCTATGGCCAATAAAATTGGTGTTACCGATGCTGACCCTAAGTTTGAAGATCTTGTCAAATTACGTAAAATTGAGCCTGATAGTGACATTTCTGAACCTAAATCTAGTATATGTACACATAAATCAAATACTCCGCAAATCTCTCATTCGATAATAAATTTTATATAATAATAATAATAATAATTATTATATGATATAGATAAAATTAATCATCGTTTATATAAAATAATTTCGTAATCCAAGAGCTTAATATGTAACGTGTCAATGTAAGGAGCATAACACGAGCGCATTCATATTCTGTCTAATGATAACAACGAAACATATAATTTAAAACCTTAATAGACTAAAGATGATAAATTGAATAATGACTATGTAATAATTAGGGCCCGGATTTCAATACAAAGTGCATATTTTTTTGGTTGATCATACTCAATGCTCTCTAAGAACATAATTCGTTTCATGTAATAAGGGTTTCAAAACTACAAATTTTTCCATATTTCGATGTTTTTTCTTTTTTAGTATTATTGAGTCATTTTATTGGTTTTTAATACATATTTGTTCGATTTACTAAACAAATTTAGCCTATTTAAAATAAAATCAAAAGACAAATTATTTTCTTGATATTTAAGTAGGTTTATCGGGTTTTCCGAACACATTGTCAATCTTTATTCAATAAAATTTTTTTTTGATTCAGTTTTTATCTTATCTTAATTTATTATTGACTATGGAACGTCACCAGTATTCGGTCAAATAAAAAATAATTAGCTAGTTCGTATTACCTTGCAGACGTTGCTCGTATTGCGCGTGAATGTGATTTTAATGTATTAAATAGTGTATTAAATAATGATCAACATAAAAAAAAAAGAATTATTATAATTAAAAAAGATTATGTCATTTTTAAGTTAATTTTTGTGGTAAAATGAATTTTTTAAGGACATTTTTGGTTATTTTTTTAGAGCATATTTGTATGATTTTTAGTGCATTTAAATCCGGGCCCTAGTAATAATGTTTTAAATTATATTGCATTACTTGATATGAAAAAAATAATATTAGGAATAATATTATGGTTTTTTTATTTTTATTTGATCAATTATTAATAGTATATAAAAAGTGTATAATTCTAATTAGTAACGGATAAAAATATACATAATTCTATATACGATTTGATTTCTGAAGTTAAACGAGGAATAAGTAAAGGCTTTAAAAACTAAAGTGTGAGTGTAGCGCTCACAATGTAGCAATTGAATTACGTATTACGAGTAGATGTGTACCAATAAGGGGTATTATATGTGTAATCAACCACTAATGTAATTATTATATATTATCGAACGTCGCCCGGAGCTCAATTCACCACTATAATTTTTAACATGTACTATACAAAATGGGTGCAGTTTATAATTGTATAGGTGTGTATAACTTATAATATATTTTTTTTAATGAGATACGTATGTGTACTTCCATTATTTTTCATTAACATTTTTTAATTTCATAAAAATTTAAAAATTATTCAAATAAAAATGTTCAATGCTAGAATTTCTGAATTTTTTAATACTATTTTAAAGTCTTGATTTATAATATGTTTGAATAATTATCAAAAATATTGATAACTTAATTCGTGTTATGTTGTGATGTAAAATTATTTTATTTTTTTTTTTTATCATGTTTGTAATTTTGTACATTTTTTTTTTTTTTGTTCGCCAACAAATGTAGTTGAAACATTATCTAATAATTTCTAATATAGTGTAGGCACTTTTACATTTAATAATGCATACATGTACCATAGTTGTTACGTGTTACCTACCTATTACGTCTTTGTACTTTCAAATTAGTGAACTAAAACCCAGTATTAGCTAACAAGTTGCAGTTTATATAGTCATTATTTGATATTATTTATACATTATTATTTATATATAGTATTTAAGTTTCTAACTTACATTTATTTATGTAATTAATTTGATTTGTGTTTTTTATGATAATTACTCTTCATACCTTTAAATAATCAAATAATCTAAATATTTAAATGTAATTGGTATTATAAATAACTAAAATATATTTAAAATAAAAAAAAAAAAATGGTTTCACTTTTCAGATCTGATTCACTTAAGTTTTAACAAATTATCAGAGTTTAATCAAATTACTTTTCTATCATTGAATAATTGTAGTTTTAGTATCGAATAATTAATTTATAATTTTTGTATTATTTTAATAATGTGTTTCTAGATAATTTAAAAAAATATGAAATAAAAATTTACTGTATTTTTTTAAAATACTACAATTAAGTCTTAAAATAATGTACTTAATACATTTTATTTAAACCATTTTCAGACAAACCCGAGGAAGCACTAAATTTACCACCAGAAGACACAAATAACTCTACTTGTTATTCACCAGTACGAATGAAAAAAATTAAAACATTTGATTATTAAATTTTCGTTAATTTTAAAGTAAGTGAAAAAAATTAAAAAAATTAAAAAAAAGTTGAATATTATAAATAATAATGCAATTAAAATGTTATAGACAATATTAATTTTTAAACTTTATAGAAAGAAAATGCTTGCTGTTAATATGTGATTATAACCTACAAATATTCTCAAAGAGTTAACCATTGTTCCTGATCTCAGTATTATTTTCTAACATATTATAAATTATTAGTCCAGTAAGTAATTTCTTAAATAGACTATCTATTCAAATGCGTGTAAAAAATTGTGATTTTAAATTAAAATATCAAAGTTCTTAAAAAAATAACTCTGTTTATGTCCTTGGATCATAAATGTATGATATTATACATTACAATCAAAAGATCAAATATTATTAATTTCAAATTTTTTGCTTAAATGCTATTGAATATTAAAATCATAATATAAAACTAAGGAATTTATATTTTTAATCAAAATTTGTATTTGTGTAAGTTTAAAAATTTTAATTTTTATCCTTGTATTGTTAATCACATTAATATTGTTTTTAATTCATTATTATTAATTGTATACTTTTTTATAATTATTTGTTTATGTTATATAAATTTATTGTTTTCATCATTATACTTGTTTAAGTAACTTTATAGTTAGTTGGTACTGTAACCATAGGTAGACTTACCTAATAGATATTTTATACAATCAAACTAATGCTTCAAATGATTCAATAATCAAGAGATTTAAATTTTTCCCTTTCTTGCTTTTGGGTTTATACTCGTAATTCTGCTATTATACTGTATCTTTCTCTAGCAGAAAAAGTACCTTAAGTAAGAGAAATTGCAATCAAGAGGAAATATAAATATATGATTTACAGAGAACTTTTCAACTGTTTGTGGAATGAACACAGATGTTAAAAATACTAATCAAAATGTATAGTTGACATTTATATACTGTTATTGTAAATTTAATATTTGTATCAACAAATATTCTCTAATAATGAAACGCATCACTAATAATGACATATCGTCAATTACTCAATCATCATATTTCAACTTATTTTTTATTTTAAATTTTATAAAAACTTACTGCCATATTTTTATTTTCATAATTTTTCTTCTATTTAAAGAATAAGAAAATATTCTACACATCTAAGTTTATAATATACAATATATGCATTTAAAAACAATTGTTCAATGAATATTTTTTATTAAATAAATTAAGCTTTTGGTTTTAAAAATTTTTCCATTGTGGAAATCGTGTACTTTATTAAATATATTTATATCTTAAGCAATACATTTTAAGACACAGTTTATAAGGAGACTGTGATAACCTGTAAAGTATGTTACCCTTTCTATGTTTAATATATTTTACTGACCTAATATTTGTTTGTCACATGTAAAATCAAGTTATAGATAAATAATGTTTGTGAATGAGATAGCAATAAGTTGACGGGTTTAAATATTTAAAATAACATAAGGTTTAGATATTTTAGTTCTTTTCTTAAGATTCATTTTAATTAATGATAACCAGTATCTAATTAAAGCGTAAAAATGCGTTTTTCGTGGGACTAAACTATTTAGTGTAAATTCACAATAAAAGCTCCATTTTCTTTTTTTGTTTTAAAGATAAGAACATTTTTTATGATTTAGCTAATATCAAAGGATTCAAAAATATTTTTATGTTACATTTTTTAAAATCAAAGTGCTCTGTTAAGCTGTATACAATTATTGAAATAAGTTATTGAAAAAACGAAAACACTACGTCGTAGATAACTTTCTCTTCTTTAAAAATAAAATTAAAAAATTGCCAATATTATGAATTTACATGAACGGTTTTGTCCCACGTAGTATATATACGTAGTATAGTATAGGTTTTGTGTCAAAACAGTATGAATAAATGAATACTTCATATATACGAGTAGATTCACGGACCTGACATGATCATATGATAATGCACTCGTATGTAGGCGAATACTGTAGACCCTATCATAGTCGATGTACTCGGGGCACACTATTGAGTATCACGTATCCTTATATGTATAATCCAATAATACAAAGTTCCTAATAAGTACATATTTTATATATACCTGTATATTTTATGAAAAATAGCTATTGGTAGTTGATAATATAGGGGGGTAGAACATTGTTTATTTTTCTTTAAATGCTATCAGATGTTTGATATAGAGGAGTAGGTTCAAATCATTGGTTTATTTTAAATGGAATTAAATTTATCATCTTATATCTTAAAAAGATTTTCAATGTCTTGACAGAAATTAAAAAAATTCAGTAAATTTATAATAAACTACTAATGACTATAAGTTTGATAAATAATAATATTTTTGTACTGGATATGTAAGCAAAATAATACACATTACACGTACAGTGGTATTGTGACTTGTGGTAAATTTTTTTTTCGTCGAATGACAAGATTATGCTTAATAGGTAGAACACTTTAACTATTTTCTTCCCATTTCATTATTCGACGAGTTTTAGCTCAGTACGTGTGTTAATTATATAATGTCTATGTCGATATAAATATACATAAAAACATCAATGATTTGAAATAGATTCAAGTTGATGCAAAACAGATAGTTATATTATTGCTGATATATAGAACCTAGAAAATATAAGCTTGAATGGGAGACATTGGTGGGTTTTTTAATACATTTTACACTCATATTTTAACAGGAATATTTTAAACCCGGATATGAAGTTTTGGAATTAGTAACAAATAATAGAGTTAAAGAAATGTAAAATTAATATTTCAATTTTATTTGATACATTTTGATTCTGATAAGAATTTTTTTGATGTGGAAACCCAATAGATTCTATTTGATATAAACGTAATCTACGAGTACATATAAAACATTTATACATATTTATGTACATTTAAAATATTTTATATTTAAAAACCTCAATAGTAGGTACTGATATTTGGGTCTCGAATTCGTATTTTTTTTTTCAAAAGACATTTTTTGAGAATTTAAATTGCTTACGACGAAATAAAATTAATAATCACGTCTAGGTTATTGATATTTTTCAATGAATAATTCTACGTTTTGAGAGTTGAAATAATTTCCGAAGTTCAATTAACTGTAACCCGTACGTATTTTGAATTCGTGATTGACAATTCAATTTTAATGGAATTTATGAGTTAATTTAAAAATATAATATAAATTATAGGTTTCAAGTTTTCCTCAGACTCTTTTTAAACACGCAATGACTAATTGGCACCGAAATATATAAACAGACCTGTACTGGTCCATAGGAACACCGGGAGTTTTTTCGATGCGTCTCATGATCAATTAATGTCCTTTTCACCAATTTTTTTTTTTTTTTTTATATATTGATAATGATAATAAAAATAAATAAAATTGATAATGATATATATTTTTTATTTTATATGTGAGTGCCTATTATATTATACAAATTATATGTTTTGTAATCGTTATGCTTAGATATTAGAGAGGTACATTTATGTAAATAATTGTTTTGTAATTATTTATGATATTAATAACTATAGAGCCACACCACAATCGATGTTAAGGTGAAAGTGCATTGATTGTTGTTTTTATTTCGGTTTTTCTACGGGAGGCCCGTCTAATAAGGTAAGTAATTTTTATAATTTGTATAATAATCAGGGCTGACGCAAGGGCAGTGCAACCGATGTGCCTGCACAGGGCCCCACGGGAACGGAGCTCACTACAGAAAAACAAATGACCATATTCTATAATTTAGAGAAGATAAAATTATCATTGTTGAAACAATAAATTTGTAATATCCTGGAGAACAGTGCCGATGTACTGAGTTTGTGTAAATACTAGTTATTGGACACAATGAATATAATATTTTTTATATTATTGTTAACAGTAGTTGTCTCGTGTGTGTTGTAATAATGGCAAATTAATTTTTAATTCTTTATAAATTACGTGCGTTTTCAATACACTTCGCTTAGTTACGATCGAAAGCGTTAACTACACATTTTACCTCAATGAAATATTCCCTATAGTAAATTGCTGTTTTAAGCTTTGTACACCATGCAACGAGTTAATATCGCTTTTGGAGGTTAACTCAAATTGGGATACATTTCTTTGAAAGTATTAATACGTGAATTTTAAAAAATAATGATACAATTATAATGATTATTATTATAATTATTATTGTTATTATTATTAGTATTATAATTGTAAAATACGCAAATATTTACGCAACTATCCATAAATATGTAAATCATATGCGTTTTCGTTTAAATATGCAAAAATAAGCAACGAAAAAAATGTAACAATGGCATCTACACTTTACGAACCGTCGACTCTTATAACCAACATTATTCAAATTCAAAAAACAACAATGAATTGTAGAAGAATATGTATTTGTATATAAATCTGGGTTCTACTGATCATGTTTAACGTGCAACTATAACGGTTATGTAAAAAATAATCTGTTTACGTATTTTCCATGACTTTGTTCGGATGGACCTTCTTCCTTCACACGAGACAACTACCAGGCGACGCGTATCCTAAGGTAACCATACGTCCTGTTTAAAACAGGATTGTCCCTTTTTTTATCATTGTGTCCCGTTGCCCCGACAATCGTTGAACAGGACGCTTTTGTACCGTTTTTAGAATAGGGTCCCGTTTTAATCTCGTTAATTCCATAAAAATTGTAAATCGAGAGTAAAAGAAAAAAGAAGACATGTCATATAGTATATATATGTACTACGAACTCATGTGCAAGACTTCTAATGAAATCGATGTTAAATACGAATAGTTTACCAATATTCAGTACTATTTATAATCAACGATATTCGGTATAATAGGTATATTAAGTATATCAATCGAAAAATCGAACCTAGTCGTACAGTAACGTGTGTACGAGTACATTGTAACGATCTTGTGTTATTAATGTTATAGTCACTGTGTTTTATCAATTCTTTTTATTTAAATTGTTGTGAGTCGTTAGTGTTATCACTTTTATTATTTTTTTAAAATGCCTAAAAAGAAATATACGTTCACTGTACCTTTACAGATTAACTAATATAGTAATAGATAGAATATTTTTAATCACAAATATTCTACGGACGGACGAAAAAAATCGTTTTCTCGTACCAACTATCAAAGCAATAATAATCCTTAAAAATAATTTTAATAAATATTCCTGTAATTATTTTTATGATTTTTTGTTAACACAACCAAAACTATTAAATGCAATCAGTTCATCAAAAAAATATAATGTCAAAGGATATAATAAAGAAAATTATGAACAATCGATATCAACTCAATAAAAATAAAGAATATTTTAAGTAATTTTTTTCAATCTCACAGCAAGAAAAGAATGCAAATCAATGTTTAATTAAAATATTAAACCAATTAAAAATTATTTTTATTGCATATAATATAGAAGTTAAAATAAATGTGGTCTTTTTTTTAGAGAACATATTTGTTCCGTTTTTTTTTTTCATAAGTATGGTCACCCTAGTGTATTCTACTAATCTCGCGCGCGACTTGCAAATAAGGTCGCCTGTCTCGTTTGGGTCTCCCAATATACAAGTGTATAATTCAGTCATTATCTTTTGAGTTTTGACATTTATTTTGAGTTTTATCATAGAACTATGGTCGAACACGCTTTTAACATAAAGTTTATGGGTGAAGTTGATAAAAGGCCCGAACTTTATAATTATACTGTGCCTCAATATTTACTTAAAAAAATGTTTTGGAGAAGGGCTGGATAGAAGTTGGGAAGGAAATGAACTTTCCAGGTAAATGTTTAATTCAGGTTAATCTATAATTTTTTTCTAGCTCTTTAGCTGTAACAAATAAGCGACAGTGAATGTTTTTTTCAGTGTAAGGATAGCACCACGTTATTTTAATTTTCCTGTCAATGGGCGGGTTTAAGGGGGTGGCTAAGAGGGCATATTAGTCTTTCCCCCCTTAGGACTAAGCTAACTTTTTTACAAAGCCAAGTATTATGATATATAGATATATTAATTATTATTATAAAATATCGTAAATCGTCGTTGATGAATATGTTATCTATTTTATATATATTTTTATAAATAAACAGGTAACTCATTTTTGTTCTTAATTATATGTGTATAGGTACCTATGTTTTTAAAATGGTTTCAGATTAAAATTGATACCTACCAATAATGTAACTATTTAAAATTTGTCACTATTGTAAAAAAATTACTTACTTATGAGGGACTCAAAAAAATATTCTGTAATTTAAAATTTAATATAAAATTTAAAAAACAACTAAATTCTTGAACCTCCATTAGACCCTGTCTAGGTGAGTGATAAAACCCGCCTCTCTGTCAATAATAGTTGTAATAATTGAAGACAACAATATCATCATCACTAATAATGACATACTGATATTGATAAGACTCAGCTACAACAAAATTAGAAGCAAATGCTCTACTGGAGAAGACTAAAAAGATTTCGTCGCTTCGCAGTAGCTTCAGAGTAGCTGAGTGTGTGGCGATGGGTTACTTATGGGTATTTCACTAACACGCAACTCAAACAGCCGTTACTTAAGTATCCATTACGTCATCTGGGAGTTGTTTCTCATGTGAAAACGGCTTTAATCAGAAACTGGCGGGTTTCGGAAAAATTCTTATCTCTAATAGTGATAAGAGGTATGTATCATCAGTATTGATAATTCTAATATCTGTCGGCAGTATTTCGTAACGTGATTTCGTTATTCTCTTCTGACTGTAGTGTAGCCATGTAGGTCTTTTCTTTTCGCGGTCGATCGTTGACCGACTAGTGCCAGTAGACTGGATTTTATATTTTATGTACTAATTAAACACAGTTTTCGTTGGTGGTTCATTTGCATGTGATTCTCAATTCCGAGGCAAATATTTTTTTTCTTTTTTAAGCAACAATGGACCATAATGTTTGTTATATTTCCGATTCACAATTGATTGAAGAATGCAGCAAAATTCCAAACATTGGAGAACGGGTAAAATCTGATGATATTAATGGGCACCAATTGTTTCATTTGATAGTTTTCTCGACTGCTCAGTTTTAGTCCCATGCCTATTACGGACTATTACTGTTTTTACAAATAATATTGTTTGTTATACCAACGTTTAGTAAATTTGCTTTTTATGTTCTGCAAACTACATATGCAAATATATTAACATTAGATTGAATCAGTATTTTTATTTTTTTTTGGATAATCAATACAGATTTTATTTTATACTAAATTTTAACAATTAATATTTATTATTATAATACTATTTATTTTATTCTAGTACCTATCTTAAATATTTTGTAATTGTTGTGTTATAAATCTACTAAAAAATATATGTATTTACATTTCAGGCATATTTGGTTGATAGTCTAATTAAGGCATGTAATCTTTTTGATCACATGGATATATTGAATGTCATACCTTCAACATATGAAGATCTCATTGCTTTTCATTCAAGTGCATATATTGATTTCCTTCAGAAATTAGATGACAATAATAGTTCTATCTTGGAAGATGAAGAAGAATACGGATTAGGTAAACATATTTAAAAACAAGTAAAAATAAAAATTTCAATTTTATATGTATATGTTACTTAAAAACTTAATAAAAGTTCTTAGCGTTATAAAAATTATAAATAAATTTGTTTTTGATGATTTTTTAATTCATATAATCATATAAATCATATTAATATTATGTATATAATATCTCTTTTATAATTATGTTTTTATTATATATATAATATATAATATTATTGATATTAATATTCAAACATAAATACTTGGGTTATGTACAGGACTCGAGAATTTATGTGCTTAAAATCTTAAGAATATGCGCATACATATGCACCAAAAAATATAAAAATATGCTCTGAAATATGCATTTATTGTTAATTAATTTAAATTATTTGAAAACATGCTGTTTAAATTAATAAATTTCAAAAATATGTAATTGAATATGAAAAATCCAAAATAAGCACAATAAACTTTTTAATTTCAACTTGAAACACCACAATAAAAATTTGTACAGTATCAGATTTATTCTATTTACTTTCCGAACAAATATGCAAATAAATAAAGCCCGATTCCTGGTTATTTATTACAACAAAATGTTTGCATGTTTGTTTGTTTTAATATTCTTTTTTTTTTTGAAAAAAGTTATCCATTATTATAAAATGAATTAGATAAGATCAATTTAAGTACTCAGTATTAAAATATATTTATAAAATTAATATTTAGTAATTATTATATTCCACAAATTGAATGAAGTGTAAAGAATTTGTTTTTCTTGATTATCTTTTAACACTATATCATTTAATGAACGATTGGTTTTTAGTGTGTTGATATAACTTAGATGTTCTGATTTAACATTAATTATCTATTTTGATGTAAGAAGTTTATCAAATAATATGACTGATCAATATATATATAAATATTCTCAATACTTTTAGGTTATGATTGTCCAGTAGTAAAAAATATTTGGAAATTTGTTACATATATATCTGGTGCATCATTGACTGCTGCTCAAGCATTAACAAGTATGCAATTTAAATTTTCTATAAACTGGTGTGGCGGTTGGCATCACGCATTAAGGTTAATATTTTTCATTATTAATATTTATTTTGTAATTTATACATGATTTTTCTTTTATATATTTATCAGAGATTCAGCTCAAGGGTTTTGTTATATAAATGATATAGTTCTAAGTATTGAAATGTTGAGAAAAACATTTGGAAGAATATTATATATTGATCTTGATGTCCACCATGGTAATAAATAACAATTAGTATACAACTTGTTTTATGGATTTATATAAAATTGTTTAGGAAATGGTGTTGAGTTCGCGTACATGAGTACTGATAGAGTTCTTACACTTTCATTACATCAATATGAACCAGGATTTTATCCAACTAGTGGATCATTGAACGATATTGGAATAGATAAAGGAAAATACTTTACTGTGAATGTACCATTAAAAGAAGGAATAACTGATGATAAATATATATCATTATTCTACAAGTAATAATATGTAATAATTTAAATTGTTTTTAAATAAGGATATAATTTTTGATTTAATAATTATTGTTTATGTATTTAATTTAGAATAAGTAATATGGTGAATAGTTCCTACAGTCCAAATTGTATTGTTGTCCAATGCGGTGCAGATAGTTTAGTTGGTGATCCGATTGGTGGGTTTAATTTAACTCCAAAATCATTAGCTGAATGTGTAAAAAATGTTATGAAATGGGAAAAACCGACATTGTTTCTCGGTGGAGGTATTCTAATTTTTTTTATTTATTAAATCAAATTAGTACATTTATAGTAATAAAATATTTTTTATTGTTCATTTCTTTTACATAAAAACTTATTAATTTTCATGTTTTAATTAAGTTAATTAGTATTTAATGATTATTATTTCATAATTTATAGTTATTCTTAGTATATAAAATATCATGTAGTACCTATTTCTGCTTATTAGAATTGATTTATAATAAAATGTTTTTATTATTCGTAATTTAAATAAAATACAAATCAATTTTTAATTTCTTTGATCTTTTAACTTTATTACAAATTGTATTTAAAACAAAAATATTTGATTTTAGGAGGAATTTATTTCTATTTCTTTTGATGTTAAGTACCATATAGTTTATATATTTTTATTAGGTGGTTATAATAAAGCAAATGTTGCTCGTTGTTGGACATATTTAACAGCTGTTATTACTGGACAAGATGATACATTGTGTACTGACATACCAGATAATAAAGTAAATATAATTATATTTTATATGTTAATAAGATATTCATGTTTGGAAGTAGCAGTTTATATAGAATTAATATTTTTACTTAAAAAAATTAACATTGTTTCAGTACTTTTCAAATTATGGTCCAGACTTTACTTTAGATATCAATCCGGGAAATCGAAGAGATTACAACACTCCTGATCATCTAGATAACATTTTTAATATCATCACAAGTATTAATAGTTTTTAGTTAATTTATTTGTATACAATTCTATTAATTATATGACATAATAATACTTTGATATTTTTCAGATAATATGAAAATAGTAAAAGAACTCGTAAGCTCACAACCAATCTAATTCAAACCAATTTGATTAATTAAATTTGATATTTATTGAATATACTATATATTTGTAATTTTATAAATGCCTTTTAAATGATAACAATATGGTATGGTTCACTTGCAAGTGGATACTAACAGTAAAGTTTTGCAAAAGCATTCAAGCATGTGGGTTAACAGTTATTTTGGAATAATGGTAAAATATTTCAAGCGATTTGGGTACCACGAGACTTTTGTGAATATGTGATTCGATTCTTATATTACAGAAGGACTTCTCAGTGTTAAATCCAGTATCTACATGATGTAACTCTCATCGGTCTTTTTTTTAAATCATTATAAGTAATGATAATTACATAATTAAACTCTGTCATCTCCTTGATTTCCCATTAAAAGTCTCATATATATCTGCATGTTTGTAATAAAATAAAGCATATTATTTACGGATAAATATTTAATTTCAATTCATACACATACATTTTGCAAAACAATTAAATAAAATATATTTTCTCAATAAACATAATACTCAAAAAAAAAAAAAAAATCAACAGCTAACACAAAGTATTCTCTTACCATTTTACCAATAATAATTTTAAAAAATAAACAAATAAGGGCCCAATAAGTATAACAATTTATTATAAAAGTATATTAGTCTAATACCATATGTTACAAAATACCCAAATAAAATATTGTTATTGAATAAATTAATATTAAATAAAATTAAAATAAATAATGCTGTTCTGTAAAAAAAAAGTCAAATCTCATTTTTTAAATTTTAGACTTAAAAAGATTCAATTATCATACATATAATTTGATTAGCTTAAATTTATGTGTATAGAAAAATCTTAAAAATATTATCTTGGGGTACTTTTATTATAACTAAAATATTTTTGGTAAAATGCCAATACTTATAAGATAAAGAAATTAGCATTAACTATTATATATGTTTATATGATAGCGTTAAAATTGTTTAAAATTTAACTGTTTTTAGATGTTTATATACAAACATATACTAAATCCGTTTAGCTAATATTTTATAAACCGTTTTAAAATTAATATTTTTATATCATGACTTTGGTCGTTTGTTCTAGGAGGATATCTGATAAGTGATAAATTGATGCATAATATATTTATAATTTAACATTTATTGTGTTCTTATTAAATTATTATTAAGTTATTTAAATAATAAATATATAAAAGCAAAATCTGATAAGTGATAACTGATAACATGAATCACAATAATTGTGATAAACGTATTAATGCAAAACATATTCTGCGTTTATATGTACATTTGATAAATGGGTTTGAGCATATAAAACGATTTAAAATTCTTAAACTACATAGCGCGAGCATTTTTTAAACCGTTTTTAAGTGCTAACATGACGTTAATGGGTCTTAATTTCAAAACGGTTTAATTTCAAACCGTTTTAAACGCTATCATATAAACGTAGTAATAGGTTATTTGAAAAATTATAACGTTAAACTATAGTTAATGAATTTGCTATTATAATCAACGATAGAAGATATTAATTATAACATTTGAATCCATCAGCAAATTAAGTTTTTAAAATATCAAGAATTTGATTTAAGCCTTGAGTTAGTGAATTTCTAAATTCGTATCCATCAGAATGTTCTTTGTAGTTTGTTATAATAGCACCAGAGTATTCTTCAAGAATTGTGTATCTATATATAAAAAATATAATAATAATTAAAATTAATGAATTCATTGGTGATAGTAATTATATTATAGCGATTATTAATTAAATCACTAAATTATCAGATATTTTGTCAATTACTAGTAAAAATATATGCAAAATATAATAATTTCAAGTATATAATTAATAAAAAAAATAGTTGTTACCTGTATCAATAAATTAAGTAGGTTTAATTCTGACTTTATTATTCTTAAATTATACTCGAAAAAAATATTTTAAATTTACTTTCTTAAAGTTTATTATAGGTAATAATAATTTAATATTAAGCTTACCCAATACCATAACCATTTTTCATAACCGGTCCAAATCCTCCCAAATATACATAATCTGAAGTTAAACTAGAAGTAGATAAAATATTATGGTTTAGTTGACTATAAGCAGGGTCAGTAAATAAATCTGGAACTTTCAAGCCATTTTTTTTAGCTAGTAACAACAAAGCAAATAAATGACGATCAAAACCTTGCCCTAGAAAGGAAATGAAAAAACCAACAATATATAATATTTGATAAAATATATAATGCTAAAATTAGTTTGTTTCCAATGAAATATTAGTTATTACCCATGGCAGCATCTTTCACAAGTTTACCGTGTTCAATTGAACATTGTTTTATCATGTTCACCAAATCACTGTTAGAAGGCTTATTTGAACTACAAGCAGCATGGCAAAAATCCTAAAGTACAACAAAGTAATTTATTTTAAATTAGTAGAAGAACAGCGAAAATCAAACTTACAGAAGTCTCCTTGGTACAGGGTCTTATAGTTTCTGTTCGTCCTTGTTTAAATGCAGCTGTACTGCATGATTCATAAGTAGCAACATGTTTTTTATGCAGTTTATAATATCCCAACTGCAATTCAATTTAACTAATAAATATATAAAAATATAGAAGTTATTTAACAAGACATTTAAATTTTAATGTTACCTGAAAACATAACTGCATCAAGGAATCAGCACTAATCCCATATTTTTTACACATTTTCCTACCAACGTTAAATAACTCAAAGTAATTTATGTCTAAAGACTCATAGGTATGTTTGTACTCATTCATTGATTTCTTAATATCTCTTTTCATTTGATCATCCAAATTGAATTCTATAAAATTAATAATAAGTTACTTAATATTAAAGCTAAGAAAATATTAACCAAAAAAATTTGAAATTAATAGAAGATGTCATACATATATAAATACACAGTTAAGTTTTCATTAAAAAAAAACATATCTTCATTATTCTTTCTTTCATCATAAGTATGTACATTACAATGTCACAATAATTTTCAGGGAGTGATGTCCAATTATATCTCTTATAGAGTCTACCTGCCTTTATGAAGAATATAAAACAAGACTTCAAAGTAACTTTTTAATAATTGAAAAATTATTTTTATAATTGTAATGAATATTATATATGAATACAATATATGTAGATTGATATCAATGATTTACCAATAATAATGATGCATTGAATAATTACAAAAAAAAAAAATTTATTATACAGGCACATAAAAATACAAATAATACATTTTATAATTCTATATAAAACGAATATGAATATTTACCTAATTTTTTCACATCTAATATATCTGAATTAAAGTCTTGGTTTAAATTTTCTGGATGACATCTTGGAAACTCAGTGGAATCCTTTGATATATCTTGGAAATATCTCAACACAGCAACTCCATCGCCCCATGAATGCTCAAAATTTAGTCCAGATGTGCCATCAGCACAAACTATTAATGTAAACGATTTATCAAACCAACTAAAAATAAATATTGAGAATATTAGAAATATAAAGATTATTAAAAATAAACTGGTATGTAATTAAAATTATTACCGATTAGTTCCATCAGAATGTAAATATTGCTTAATAATAGATATTGGATTAGCATTAGGTTTTTCATCATCAAGAGCAATCATCATTAGACTATCATCAATTGAACTCAAAGATTCTTCATTTCCTAACTTGATCAGATTATTTCTTAAATTTGCCCAATTATTACGTTCAGTCGTTGTTAAAATACCAATGGGATGTTCACATGGGACAATATCATCTTTTAAAATATATTTTAATTTTGATAGTAATAAGCTAGGTTCCAGTATATTGCCTATTAATATATAAATTATAAATAATGCATTCTAGTATATAATATAATTTATGGTCATTAATAAATAAAATACCTTGATGATCCAGAACATCAAATTTGTAAAAATGGCCTCGTCTCATAACAACAATATGTTTTCCTGATTTACAACTGTGTAATATATCTTTATTAATCATTGGAATGCGTGTATTGTTAAATAAAGAACTATACTGAGACATGTCTAAAGGGTATGCCTACAATATAAAAAAAAAATTATAAGTAAAATATTTTATGACACGTCATTTGATCTAATAAAGAATAACCAGCGATATATGATTTGTCACATAATAACCTAGTGTAAAAATATCTAGAGACTAAATAAACGTTTTTCTCGATTATTAAACGAATGATACATTTTTTTCACATTTATCTGTAAGTTTTGCCAAATATTATTCACCGGATCAAATAAGATGGAACCTAAAATATAATCCTATATAATATTAATTCATTATACATTTTGAGTATGTTAATGCTGAATGTTTACAAAGTTAGAAATTTGACATTTAAGTAATGACTATAGAGGTATTTTACAAAAACTATAATTTATATATGAACAATGTACTTGATGAATTCTAACATTACAATATATAAAATCTATTTTTCATAACTAAATATGACTACAATTGAATGAATAATTAATAAATTACTTTACGATATATATATATATATATATATATATATATATGCAATGTCTTGTTATAAGATTTTAATCGTTTAAGCTGGAGATCATATTAGCACGTAAAAAAGTACCATATTAGAATATATATATGAGTACACAATATAATATAATTAGAAAATATTTAATAAATAATTGAGCACACAGTAATAAGAAGAAACAAGTCACTTCTTGGATTGTCATAAGACAACTCCAAATATTAAATTGCACATCATCAGTTAAATACTGTGTTGACAGTGATAAGAGAAAGAACGACAAGGAGTTCTTAAGAGATTGAGGTATATAAAGGGGTACCGAATAGACCCATATTCAGATGTGTTTTAGTCCTATCTTAGAAATTATTTCACGCCAGTTTATTTTCTTAATAAATTTATGTTTATGAATTATTTAGAATCATTATTAATGTTTGAACTTAAAATATTTTACAGTAAAAAGTATTTAACTTAAAGTTGAGTTATCATTTAAAACACCTTTACCTCTATTTTCAACATAAGAACAATTTAATTGATGACATGCAATAGTGAACTACATTATTTTTGTTTTCCAAGATAACTGTAAGAATATTATGAAGTTTTTCATTAAAAAGAAATTATACAGTATACATGTTGGTATGTCACAAGTATCTTACATTGAATATAAGTAAGTAACTATGATAATAAATAACATACTACACCTATATCCATCTCAATTAGTATTATTTATTTTTTTATAATTATTATTACATTACTTTTAAAGTGTATATTAAGTACATTAAATATATTAAGTACATCAAGCACTTAATTACTCAGCAATATTAACGAAGATTTTCAGTCTGTTTAAATTATATTTAGGCATTATGCTTTGCAAAATGTATTCTCAACATTTCTAAGGAATAATAAGAATACAAATTATAGACACATTCATCACATTTTAGATAGCAAATACTTTGTACTTTTTATTTTAATATAAATAAAATATTAATCTCATAAATAATTTCATTATAACATTATTTTTTCTCAATTTTTCAAATTTCTAACAGTCATTTAAAATGTTGTATACTTACATTGTACATATAAGCTCCATACCAACTAACTGATTCTGGAAGATATTTCATTAACTTTCTAAATTGAGTTGTATCACTTTTTTTTGGATTTATATGAAATATTTCTGGTTCTAATAAGTTTGTTTTTAATGATTTATAAAATCTAAAATTAAAACAAAAAAAAGCCATTTGTTAAAATGTTCAAATTAAAATAAATTCAAATCATTATTACTTTTTTATTTAAAATATTATACAATTCATTAATACATATAGATAAGTAGTATATTAAGCAAAAGTGATGTTTTCATGTAATGCAATGACTTGATTGATATGTACAAATATCCAGTGAAGGAACATCAACGTGAATTAAATTAAAATTAAAATTATATTTGTTTAACCATTTATTAATATGTACAAAAATATTATATCAAAATAGTAAATTTAATAAAATGGAATAAAATATAATATGTCAATACATTTAAAATATTAAATAGATATACACAACAATATTAATAACCATATTTTAAACTCTTAAATTATGTGATCGATATACAAAAAAAATAAAAAAAAAAGTCTGTATTATTTTGAGAATGTCTCCGATTTTATTACTAAATAGACTGTTTGTAAAGAATATGATATCGACATAAGTTATTTTAGTAAAAAATACAATCAATGGTAGTAATAATTAAACATAATAATTATGAATAATTAAAGTATAGTAATATTTAGTATAGCAACAGTGAGTAAATAAATATACAAATAAATAAATAAGCAATATAATAATGTAAGGATTAAAGTCTAAGAATTTGGTAACTATTGAGTAGTTTCATAAGCAAATATTCAGAATTTCAAGCCAATTATAAACATGATATTTATAACATGAATATATTTTAGGTATGGATACTAAATATGTCACATATTATTTAAAAAAATCATAAATGTTGAACTAATAAATGCATATAAAGAAAAAAAATCTAAATTTTTATTTTTACCTTAATGATGATATTAATAAATTAGTAGATCGTAACAATTGATGATTATACTCGTTATCAGATCGCTTGAATACTAATAATGGATTGTAGTTAATTGGTAGAGGAGATCTATCAGATAAATACATATTGAACCAATCTTCAGTTATGTAACTGGTGTTTTTGTTCAAGCTATCTTTTTTTTTTAACATCTCTTGTAACACAATTCCATCATTTTGTTCAAAATGTTCCACATTTTTTTTTGTTTTCATATAATCATTTTTTGAAAGTAAAGGTAGTTGTGCTTTAAGATAACGTTGACAAGTTAATTTTAAATCTGGAACTGGAAGTCTGGGAAGAGATCGTTGAAAATGCATGGTAGGTACAATGCTTTTTTGTAGATACTGATAATCATCAGAATGATACCTGTGAAACAAATATATAAATTGTGTTTAATATAGTAAAATATTAAAGAATTATTAGTTAAATGACATTTATATAAATGTAAATGACTGAAGATCTATAGATACATTTATGAATGAAATAAATAATATATGTAAATTTGCAGGATATCTAAATTGTGTATCCATATATATTCCATAAGTTAAAATGTATTGGTATTTTAATTTTTAATCACTAAAAATCGTATTGTAGTATACACATTGATAGTAGAATGAATAATAATGTAATTTAATACAAAAAAAATCACTTGTAAATTGAAAAAACTTGTTATAATGTATAATATAAATTAATATATTTACTAAAATGTTAATAAGATAATATTTAATACTTAAGGGTTCACTAGTATTTTCAGAGATCTATAATATTTATAAAGAATTTAATTTTAACTCATAATAATATTTACCTTATTTGTGTCACCATTTTTATAATTGAATCTGTGTTTTGCAATAGTATCTATAACAATTAAGCATAACTGTACAATATTCATACACAAATAATACCCAAACAATTTTATATTATAAGATCTTGTAACTTATTGTTATAAAAATAATAAAATTAATAATTAAAATAGATTTAAAAAAAATGTCAACAATACATAGGTTGTTTATGAAGAATTTTTCTTACATAAAAGTATTGTAACTGACAACATTCCATTCCTTATAATTAATATTAATACCTGTATGAAAAAGAGTCTTGAAATGTAATAGTACTACTTTTGAATACATATAAAAAATTACACTCACAAAGTATAACAAATAATTGGGCTTATGAAAAATCCCTAATTTTAGCTATTAACTATAAAACAGTGTACCATGTACATCTACTGTTTACTCATTAGTAATATCTTATTGGTATTTATATTTTATTGTGTTATTTTAGATATGAGGAATTAGGTACATGTTTACGTTGTATCCAAGAACTAGAGATAATTTATTTATTTATTTTGTTACATAAATTGCAGTATTTTATTAGACTATATCATATTTAGCCGGTCGTTTCACAACATAACAATTCAACAGATGAGTTGAGGAAAAATAAAATAATCGGTAATAAAAAAAAAAAAAAAGTGCTACCTAGTATTAATACATTATGACACTTACTTTTTCTAATACATATGGTTTGGTCCACGAATAATGATACTTCGAGAGCATATTTTTAGATTGTTTTTTCAGACAACCAGATACAAAGTACCTACCAAGGATTACCTAATAAATAACGTACCTACGTTAAAATTATTTACTCTACTATCGAATAATAAATTAGAAAATAACGATAAAACAATTTACATCCGTTATTATAACATTATGACAGATCAATGCTTCGTTTATACAAATTACAAATGCCTGATATTATGATTTATGTTAAAATATTTTCTACATATTATCGACGTTGATATTTTGGGCTAATACTATTAGCGAAAGGGAAAAATTGCTTTCTTATCACAAATATACATGCAATGTAGTACAGTAATAATTATTGTGCTTCGTAATTGCCCTCATTACCTGATAACAGGTGTTTTATAGATATCAAACTTTGTATAATGATAACTCCTCAGACAAATCGTGCGTATCCAGTGGTCGAAATGGCTCAAGATAAGTGGAGGGATGCCTTATAATTCAAATTTCCTGACATCATAATATTCTTCACACCTTATCTACCTATAATATTTTTTTTTTTATAGTTCACATAAAGTATATTATCTTAGTCCGTGGCTCTAAATATAGGTATAATACGAGTTGCGAAACGGCTTATACTAAACAACACGATAAGCCGGGCGCCCGGGCCTGAATGTTGAAAACAATTATTTTCACTGAAAAAAATAATGTCTTATATATAAATATAAAAATGATAAGTAGGTATCGGTCCAATATGCGACCTACGAATGTTACTGATAAGATTGAGTTGATCTACAGGTTTCTTTATCGCGGTGATTGTCGTTATGGGCATTTTATTTTTATTTTTGTTAGATATTTGTTCAATATTTCGATATTTTTCTCCGATAGGTATTTACAATCATTAATAATGTCTTTACTGTCCTCAGTCAGTACAGTTCCAATTCCGTTCGTAAATGGCGCGCTCATTTTGTGATTTTTTATTTGAGTTTTATTTTGTGTGTGTGAATTTTTATGTGAATTTTTCTAATTCAACATGACATCTACTAGTGGTCACCTATATAGGCACATTATTAGTGATGAAGTGGTATGTGTTCAATATTTAAAAGACCGAGGGTTATTACTGGCCAATAATCCGATGACATGTATAAAGATGAAAGACGGTGTTGTATGTAATAGCCAACTTGTGGAATATTTAAGAAGTAATAAAAAACGAAATTCTGATGGCATTATGAAAAAGTTGTAACATTATGATGTGCAAAACGGGGTTGCCAGACTTTTTTTTTTTCAAATTTAGTTATTTGTAATATTTAGTTAACTAAATTTGTTTTAACTTAGTTTAACTTTAGTTAACTAAATTTAATTTTACTAAATAATATTAGTACTATTTGTAATAAATATTAATTAAAATAAGTTTAGTTTATTTGTATACCTATTGTTGAAAATATTATAATAACATTTTATTTTTTTAATATATTTATTTTTTGCCATTTTTTTATGAAAAAAAAAATTGGTGGCTTATTTTGGTTTCTTTCAACTTGCGGCCCGAAACTATAGCCACCCCCTAAGCCCCCTCTTTGATCTAGCCTTGCTCGTCGGTACTTGTGTTGAGATTGAATCCAATAACTATTTCAGTAATATTATTGCCGATTCATATTAATAATTTATATTGTTTATTAATTATTCATATCTAACATCGTTTTTGGATACGAGCATTAAACCAGGCAAAGTAAATGAACGTTTTTCGGAACGTATGAAAACGATCATATTTGCCGCTAAATCTATTTTGGATATTTTCTAATTTTTGATGAACGACCGAGGAATATTATACGTCTTCAAAGAAGGGCAACTGGCAATCCACGAAATTTTTATTTAGCTCATGATGCATTTTCAAATTACTTCATAACATTTCAACGTTTATCGGTATTTCGTTTTACACGTTGATCGTACAATGTAAATATTATATTTTTCTCTAGTATTGAACTGCAGCTAATTTATTAAATGTCTAAATATAATGTACGTCTACAATAGCATAGCTAACATAGCTATAGGTATTGGGTAAGTATTGTATTGGTTTATTTGTTGAAGTAAATTACGTAAAATAAATGCTAATTGTCAAGTTTAATGATTTATTTTTATTTTTTGCTTTTTTTATTTTGGCCCACCAGATTTTAAAGTTTTATAAATTGATCCTCTGTTCAATGGTTTTCAAACTGGGTGTCGCGGCACATTGGTGTGCCGCGGTCTTCCGAAAAATGTTTTCTGTGAACTATCGATTGCATTGAATTGTGATTTAAGAAAATAAATGCATTCAATGCGTTATGCATTTACCATATTCATAAATTTAATATATTATGTTAATAAGTCGGCTGTTTGTAGGAATAAAGTGATTAAGTAAACTTATACATCATTTGTTTACTAAGCACTCACATTTGATCGACAAAAATATGACATATTTTCAACTTTTATTAAAGATATAAATCTCAAAAAAGTAAAACTATGTCAACAATTGTGAAGATTTCTGATAAATATCAAGAAGCGAGTTATGTAGTTGGAGAGCTTGTGGCTAAAAACATGAAACTGCATATAATAGGTGAACAGTTAATTTTACCTGCTTGTATTGAAATTGTGAAAATATTTTTTGAAATAAAAGCCGAACAAGATATATTGAAAATTCTTTTATCTGATAATACTTATAATTAATAGGCGCATAAACAACACGTTTGATGATATTGAGCAGCAAGTATTAAATAAAGTACGTGATTCTCTCATGTTTTCGCTACAAGTAAATCTGACAAGTATAGATATAAGTGGAAAAGCACAGCTTTTGGTTTTGTACGTATGATAGTTGATGATATAAGCGAACATTTTTTTATGTAAGACATTGACCGAAAAAACGAGAGGTGAAGATGTTTTTCAAATTTTGGATGAACATTTATCATCAGTAAATTGATCAATGGAACGATTGTATCGGGGTATATACTGATGGAGCAAACGTCATAAACCATATATTATTGGAAATAGTACCTACGCCGAATTTGTTCATAAAATATAGTTTCTGAAATGACATAAAACTCCAACATCGATTATTGGGAAAGATACAGGCGTGGGTCTAGAATTAATGAGGACGAGGCCATTTTCTCGAAATTAAAAAAATATAATGTAGAGTTAAAAAATAATAAAAGTTAGTTATTAATTACAACTAAAATGTATTAATCATTATTAATTTTTAAATAATTATTACAATAGTTAATTATTATATTTATTATTATATTTATATTTACTCGCCTAAAATATTATCGTCAATCGGCTTATAATCTTTATTAATATTTTTAATAGTTTAATAGAAGTAATGATTTTATGTACAAGTGGCGATGAAGCACTGCTTATTAGTAAAACAGTCAGACAACTTTTAATAATATGATAAAGTGCTGCTATGAATACCATTGGATATGTGACCATGAAATTGGCCTAATAAGAAATATCCCGCAAAGCCGGCTTATTTTTTTCCATTATTCTATTATTAATTCTACGTAGTCTCTCGGTCAATATAAATTATATCGTTATCAAGAAGCAAGAATAGATTATATAATAACCATACAATATATTCTTACTTCTTAATAGCTATGCGTATACGTTACACACCTGAATAATATTACATTCTTAAAAAAAATTATTTTATAATTGTACCTTTTTTCAACTATACCAACATACTTATCGTTATAGGTATGTTTACACATTTAAAATCAGTTAATTATTAAAAATGTTTTAAAATCCACTTTTAATATGGCATTTGAATAAATCCAATAGTAATATATTAGGTACCAAAATATTCAGTTAACTAAACTTGTTGTGTAATGTACGCAAACTCAACAACTTTTCTTATAAAAGCAAATGTAAAAAAATATTTAAAAAAAAAATGTATTAGTATACACTGTTTATGCGAAAAAAAAAATTGCGTAGGTATTTCAACTATGGCAATCATAGTTATCTTCATATGCGCAACTAGAGGGGCTAGGGGGGATTAGCCCATCCCATAAATATTCCATGTTATACATGGAATACCGTATACAGTATACTTAACTCACAATAGTGTCACATATGAAAAAAGACACATTGCAGTAAATCCAACTTGGCTTAGAATCTAAAATATATTCACATAGATTTATAAGAGTAGGGGTAATCTACAGGTTATTTTAAGTTTTGGTAGGAGGGCTGTAGCTCTCCCAGATTTTATACCCTAGTTGCGATTATGGTTTTCTTGAACAAATTTTATTATCATAGCACCATAGTTCTAAATTATTAAAATATTGTAGAATATGAAGGTATGATTTTAAATTATTAAAACGTCCAAAAGTCAGTCAAACATTGAAACCGGTGTTTGATTCTCTTTGTTGTGTAGTAACATTTTATAATTATTATTCTTTAGACATAAAATTATTTATGGAAATGTAAACCGTTACATATTTTACTAGAGCTTCGGATTTGAGGAATCTTGAAGGGCTTTTGATTTTATTATCAAAATTGCTTAGGTACATGTACTAAATAATGTTGGAGAACTTTATGTTTCTGATAATTGTTAATGTTAGCAAGGCATATGAACTTTTATTTAATTTTGAAAGTTGATAGAGAAACGTTAAAAATAGTGTTTTGAAATTAAAAACTAAACCTGTTCAAAATAGTATGAAACGGCCGTTTCTTACAAGTATTTTAGGGGTGTAGCCCAGTGACGTATATAGATTTTAATTTCGGAGGTGGCCGATTATGTATTTGATTTTTGGGTGGAAAGGAAGGAGAAAGCACACTATTACGAATAAAATTACCTTAACACTATAAGATTTCTCAACTGTCTTTACACCATCAGAGAAATAAGAAATTCAATTTTTTTAATGATTTATTATTTTTTAAAAGTATAAAAACTACATTGAAATAAACAAATTATTTAATAGAGTCACTCAAAATTCACCACATATTTTCTTAAAAGAATAAACATATTATGTAAATATAAAATTTTAAATTATCGCATAAGCAACATTCTCAGTGCTGCGACAAATTTTCGGAAACTCCCAGCATTAAGACATATCCATGTTAAAAATAAAAATCTTTAACAGTGGTGTTTTTTCATTTCGGAGGGGGCCCGGGCCTCCTAGGCCCCCCATAAATACGCCCCTGGTGTAGCCTGTGGCGTAGCGATATGGGTAATCGAAAGACGATTGTCACTCAGTTTTTTTTGGGTGGGTGGGTTTCGACAAAATATATTGACCCCTGACAATTTTTGAGTTCCCTACGCTACTGGGTGTAGCCATGCCAAAAAAAGGAAGGCCATGATTCCATGACTCAATTGGATGTATTACACATCCAAAATCCATAATATATAGATACCTACAATTATATATTTAAAATATAATAATAAATATTATAAATAATAAATAAATAAGTAAATAATAAGTAATAATAAATATTGTTATATTATTTATCTATTTATAAATAGTTATAACATGTTTAATGGCTAAATAGGAATTTTAATAAAATAATTTAGAAAGTTACTGTAGTGATAACTGGCATTGTTGATTTTAATACTAATTCGATCTTGTACTTTAACTAGAACAATTCATACGTACGTTATTTGAAGTCGTATTAGTATTGTTGTGCAGAAAAATCAAGAAGCATGTATAGTTATTTCAACTATCAAGCCGATCAAGTCAACCAGTCTAATCAAGCCGATCAAGTTGATCAATTCGATCAAATCAATCAAACCGATCAAGTTGATCAATTTGATCAAATCAATCAAGCCGATCGAGTTGATCAATTCGATCAAATCAATCAAACCGATCAAGTTGATCAATTCGATCAAATTATTCAAACTGATCAAAGTATTGTTTTATTATTTTTTCGTATAATTTACTTAAGAAATAAATACTCTAATAGTTTTTGGAATTTATATTTTTAAGGTTTATCAGGAATTGATGTATACAGTGGTATTTTAGAGCCACAAGAACCTATGGATATTCCAAACATAATAAAAGTGAGTATTTATTTTATTCTAGTTATTCTAAAAAAATAATTTTCAATTGATAAATATATATATATACGAATATCGGTGAAACCTATGATATATATTATTGCTTGGTCGAACCCCGAATGATTTTAGAAGTTCGGACTTTTACCAATGAGTTTTGTTAAATCTTAGAATTAACAATCAATGATTGTAAAAGTCCGAAATTATATATTTTTTCCATTTCTGTGATAATTCTTACCTATATAAATATTTATTGTCTCAATGTTAAAATGTTTGCATATGCTATTATTATATTATATTAACTTCATACATAATACGGTTTCTACCTACATGGCCTGTTGCAATATGAGCATAATATAACTAATTATACCGAACATAATAATACATTACTTCGAAGTCATCAATCAGTTTTTTTTCACCAGTAATATTAACAATGTCAAACCGTTTAAGTCGCCTCGATAGTGAAATGTTTTTTTTTACATTAACGGATTTAGCTACTTTAACTTCACTTAAAAATATATTATATTTTTCTCAGTTAAATAAAATTTTTTTTTGTCATTTTTTAACTCCACAACATTATTGAACGTTATCTGGCGATAACGATCATCATGAACACACGCTCTTAGACTCATTCCGATATCAGTATTTTAATTACGTAAATTGCGTTTTCAACGTATATCATATTATAATTCGTTCCGGTAAAAGACCACCTCGTATGCCTACGTCATCAAAAAGAGTATTATCCAGCACTTCTCCAAATTCTCCTCTTCACGAGGGGAAAAAGACCAAAACTTTCACCTCACCAAACCATTTCGCTGTTCTCGCCTCGATTGACACTAACGATGACACTGTATTTGATGCGGCTCCACTTTCCTGCGAATTCACTATATCTTCATCTATAATTTCTAACCAGGCAGAGCCTGCGGCTCCACCTATCTACATTAGGAACATCAATAACTTTTCCGCATTCAAGGATGTATTAATTAGGACCGTCGGCCCCAAGGGGTATACATGTAAGTCCACTCCTTCGTACCTTATCGTCCGACCCAATGGTCGCGTTAATTTCAACTTGTTGTCAAATTATTTGATGGAAACTAATGCCAGTTTCCATAATTTTCGTCCTCACTGTCAGCGTCCACTCAGGATCATTATCAGAAACCTCCATCATTCCACTCTCAGTGCCGATATTTCGTCCGCTTTGTCGGAAGAAGGACACCTAGTGAGAAATGTCCACAATGAAAAAAAAAAAAATAACTGTTCTCTTCCAATATTTTTTGTCGATATCGAACTCAATGTTAATAATAAACATATCTACTACATCACTTCATTACTAAGCACGAAAGTAGTGATTGAAAAATCGAACAAAAAGACATACGAAGACATACGGTCCACCGCAATGTTTCAATTGTCAAGACTATGATCACACGCAAAACTATTGCCATCATCAATAACGTTGCGTCAAATGCGGCGAGGCTCATGAGTCAGATAGCTGCACTAAGGATCACTCCAGTCTAGCTAAATGCGTCCATTGTTCCGAAAATCATACGGCCAGTTTCAAGGGGTGCCAGTTCTACCAAACTATTTTAAATCGCCACAAAATCAAATTTTCCAACTACAAAAAAAATATCACACACACACACACACACACACAAAAAAAAAACTTATTCTCCGAGTCCCTCCCCATTGATCCCTTTCAATCTATCCCGTCATATGCTGCTGCTACTTCTGGTTCAAAACCGAACATTAATCCGCAAAACTCAAATTTAAATTTAGCTCTTTCAAAATTGATTTAACATCTATAATAAATTATTTTCTTTCCACTATATTAATAATCAATTAATTAGGGCATTTACTTTTAATATTACTTTGTTATTAAATACACTAATATTCCGTTCTGTTTACTTCTTATCTGAAATTATATTCATATTTATTATTAAATCATTTTTTTTAACTATCAATTCAACTATTGTATCACGTTATCTATCAATATTTTAACTGTCGAACTATAATAGTTTATACTGGAAGTTCTTAATTAATAAAAAAAAAACTCCATAACACCATTTAAAATTTCATAGAATCGTATTGTAAGTGACATATTGAATACTGTGTATATTTGTAATATTAATCGTGACAGTTGTAAAACGAATACTGCTCATAAAATTACTTCCTGCAACTGATCCTGATATCAATTTATTAAATTAACCTTCTATTAAATCTGTTCCATATCTTAATCATTGAAGATACAATAATTAAAACTTTTATTATAATTCCTATCACAGTCAAAAATTAAATTACGTATATAAATTAAAATGATTGATATCAACACAAATGCACAAGAATAAATACAGGTAAGAACTATCACAGAATTGGAAAAAATATATAATTTCCGATTTTTATAATCATTGATTGTTTATTCTAAGATTTACAAAAACTCGCTGGTAAAAGTCCGAACTGATAAAATCATTCGAGGTTTGATCAAGCAATAATGTATATCCTGAGTTTTACCGGTAAATCTTAGGTTTCACCGGTATTCATACTATTACCATAACATATATATATATTAATTGAAAATTATATTATATATACATATAGATATTTATTTTTTCCTCTCATTTAATAATTTTTATATTATATAGTCTGGAAAATCTAAATATAATTATAGAACTCCTAAAAACAGAAGATGTAATTTACATGGTGAATGGTAAGTATTTTATATAGTTGTTTTATTTATGACGTAATAATTTATTAATTATATAATATCTGTAAAATTAAAAAAAAAAATTAATACATACAGATTCGTGGTTATTTTATGTTAGAGAAAAGGGCAAAGTTGGGCAAAAACCAATCAGAACGATGAATAAAAAAATAAAAGCATGAATAACTAATTATTTTTTGAACAAAGAATAATATTTTATTTTAAATAATTTTAGTTGTGAATAAAAAATAAAAATTATTCTGAATAATTTAAACTTAAAATTAATTGAATAAATTGTGAATAATAACATTTTAAAAACCCAATGTGCGGGTAAATAATATGTCGATATCGAGTGCTAATCCAGTTAGATTAGCCCCACATAGATAAAAATATTATTTATGATTTTTGGTTTTGATATTTTTGATAGCAGATAATATAACAATAAAAAAGAAATTTCCGGTTTCAATTTTTAATAAAGTTGGAATTTTAAATTATTTACGAATCATTTGAGATAAACGCGACTATGAAGAATAATGAATACTGAATAAATGAATATCGAATAACCAATTAATGAATAACCAAATAATGAATAAAATAATCTAAAATAACTCGTTGAATAATGAACAACAAATAATTGTAAAAACCAAAATGATGAACAAAAATAATCTAGAAAAATCAAATGAAAAATAAATGAATAAAGAATAATTTTTTACTCAAATAATCAATCGAATATTTTTTAATTGACTCATGCCCAATTCTGGAAAGGAGCATAAGTGATACAGCTCTAGATGACTTCAATAAAATAACGTTTATATTAAAATTATATGTTTCGATTTGGGTGATATATTATGTGAGAGGACATTACCTACCAGAGAAGTTAATTATTAATGGACTTTACATATTAATAAAATATCCATGAGCTTATTTATCAGGAAATATGTATGCTCGTTGTTTTTAATGGATTAGGCCATTATAATTTCAGATCAAGACTATCATGGGGCAATGAATATTATTTTTTCTATTATTGTCATTGTTAGACAACTCAAATGGGTTGGAGAATTAAATCGTTTAGAACAAGTAGGAGTGATAAATCCATCATTTCGGTAAATTTATCCAGAAAAGTAAAATGTTGATTTCAATCGTTCAGTGTCTGTATACGTAAATTTTAAGTTATTAATGGTGAGAAAATTTGAACTTTTGCCGATTCCATGTTAGAAGACGGATTATCACGTACATTAATCGCGAGGAAAATATGTGATTAAAAGGCCATCCGAGTTAAGGGCCACCGTTGTATAGGTAACTTATTAAATAACTAATTGAGTAATCAAAATGAAGATTGAATAGCCTAAGAACTTTAGAAAAATGTCCTGTATACTTTGATAGAAAATTGGTATAATTTGACCCAAATACAATTTTGAATTAAAGAAATAGATGCATAACTTGTGAAAAAAATTGTGCCTACTCGAATAACAGCTGCGCACAATGTTTAACGATCAATTGTCGCCATAATATACGAGTGACCTTATCAGTTAAAACAGTTATAAAAATGTCATATAGTATAATAAATATTAAATGTAAATTTTGTTATATTTTTTTTTACAGGCTGTATAAAAAATCTAGAAAATCAACTATTACATCAAAAGATAATCAAGAGGACATTATGAGAATAAATCCTTCTAATTATGTCAAAAAGAATGAAATAACTCAGTCCTATTCATTAAATTCTCATCAAAATGTTATTAACCCGTTTAGTTTATCAACAAATTCACCTCCGAAAGACATGGAACAATCAAATAGAAAAGATTCTCCTCACAGTCTTCCATCTGTAATGACAAAAACTTATGAAGTTCATCCGAATGGTCAATTCGAATTCAGAAAAAATAGTGATAGATACATACATCCTTTTAAGTAATTACGTTTTCAATAGTTTAAAGTTTTTCAAGTTTTATAAGTATTCAAAATCACATTTAATTATCAGCTTTAAAATATTAGATTCAGTTTTTTAGAATTGGTTATCTAAACACCTATAATGTAAAGCATTTTACCCATTTAAAGTAGGTACTAACATTAATAATAAAACACATAAGATATTTATAATGAATGGTACTTGGATAACTTGATCCACTCCATCTAAAGATTAGTACCTCTCAACTAATTTAAAATAAAATTTTACTGTACTTCATACCTCATGTTGTTTTAGACATTATACATTTTAAATAAAAAAGAAAACTTGAAAAAATGAGAAAAAAAAATTGATAGTGTAATGAATACTGTGAGTAAATACTATTTTTATTCTTCTTGGGAAATATTGTTTCTTATTATATATTTTCATTCCTCGATCCTTTTTGTATTATTTAACTATTCGAATGATTCTATATTCCCGACCCTATTGTTAAACATTTTCAATTGCTAATGCATATATAGCTATTACTTTGTAGAATTACTGTCAATATCATTAATTATTAAAATATTTTTGTTACCTTAAATATTTATATTACTTAATATAATTTTTTTTTTTTTTTTTTAGGGACATGGTTGAAATATCTATTAATAATGAACAGTTTAATATAACCAGACCCGAAGTAACAAGGAAAATCTGTGATGCATTGATTCTAATTTTAAAAAAGGTAATTATGAGTATAAATAATATGATAGAATACAGCTATTTAAAATTTAGTAACAATATATATATATATATATATATATATATATATATATAACTATAGTTTTGATTTTTCATGTATAATAATATATTATAGATATAATTAAAACTATTTAACACTTTTTAACAAATACTTTAATGTAAAAACTTTCTTATGATTTTAAGCTATACTATATTTTTATATTATAAATCAGCTATATTTTTTATTTATTAAAATGACACATTTTTTCATGATACATTATTTTCGTTTATTACAGAATTTGTCAAAAGATGAATTTAGAATTATTGAGTTGAATACTTCTATAACCTCGTCACTTGGATAATATCATGAATAACATTTTGATTTATTAAATATACTTATTTACTTTGCATTAAATGTATTTTTCATTTATAATAAGATTTTTGCTGACATATTTTATATATTATGAAACTTAAAAAATATACTTTTGCGGTCAAAGGAAAACAGGAAAACCATTCAATTTTATCATCTGATAAAAAAGATGAATATGAAATGAAATGAAAAAATCAAATGTATATAATAAATGCAAAATGGTAAAAAAATTTCTTCAAACTATTCGTGAAAGCTTAAATTAGGAGAGTTTTAAATCTAAAAAAGTTTGTTTCTAAATATATTAATGATAAGTTTGGAAATTATATTAATTTATATTTTTTTATTGTCTACCTAATTTTGATAAATATTAAATTTTAATGACTTATTTGAAATCTTCACATCCATTAAAATCACATTGTTTAAGAATATAGTATTCATAACATTGTTTTTAACATTTAAATAGAATAATTGAAAAACGAATTAAATCTCAATAAATGGTTTACTAACAAAAAATAGTTTACCTTGCAGTTATAAAATAGTTGATAAATAGATATAATGAACAAAAATGTATTTATTTATTTATTTATTTTTAACTAAAATAATTAAAGTTATTCAACTTTTTTTTCTATGTCATATGCAATATGTAAATTAAATAAAAATATCAAACATGTTCTGTAATTAATCTAAAATACTAAATACAATTTACGGTTTTTGATTCTTAGAAATTATTATTATTTTTTAAAATTATTTTAATTAATTTTAACTAAAAAGTAGAGTGATTTCATTGATTCACTATGTATTAATCCCTAAAAGCAAAAATAAATATTGCTGATATTTTAAACCATTTTATATAAAAATCCATTCCATAATAAATGTGATTATTGTTATAAATATAACATTAGTCAGTATTCATTACAAACAAATGTTTATTAAGTTTGATTGATTTTTAAATAATGAAATACTCGTTTTAATCTAGAAACATAATCGGTGAAATTAGTAGTTTAAACCTTTTTATATTTTCCCATCTTAGAGACAAATTAAACGCTCCTTTATATGAGAAAATGGGAGATATCCGAGGGGAGGGGGATCTGAATTAAAAAACTATAAACGTTAAAAGATAATCTTATACTATTTAAAGTGAATCTACTAATCCCTCAACATTTTTTCTCCTCCCACAGGATCCAGAATCTCTTCTGCTCAGAATTCCGAATTAAATAAATTTAAAGACAATTTAGAAAATAATTTGCGTTCAAGTTTTTTTGATACTATATTAATTTTACATTTTTATACTATCAAGCAATTATTATTTTTATTTTATATAATATTTTTATGCTTAGTATAGGCATTTCATAATTTCTGTGATAATGAGGCTTCATAAAAATTGTTTTTGCTGTTCAATTACTTCTTATTGTACGCTGATTAATAATTATGAGTTTACTGTGCTACAAAAAATATTATCATAAATGATTATACTAGAATAATATTGTATATTGGTATACGGTCTTATTTATCTTTGATTTAAAGAATGATTTGTCAAAAAATATTTTTAGCTTATAATCGTTCACTGAGTTTAATGATTATTGATGTTTGATATCATTAAAATCCAAAATTATAGTAAGTTTTCAAACGTTTGAGGTTTTTATTGATTACTACGTCTATTAAAATCTAAACTATATGATTATTCTGTACAAACATTAGAATGATAAGCAAACTATATGCCTAATATTAATTGGTATAATAACTTACTTATTCTCGTATGGAATTTGCTGTTTAATTTTGATTGATAACTAATTTTATTTCGGCTATTTCATTCGAGTTTAATTTTAATTATAATTTTATCACTGAGAACTTAAATTTTAAAATACCCTGTTTTTTCTATTTCTATTTATCTTACAATTTTATTGATAATAATTAAAATTAAAAAAAATGACAAATAAAATTTTTCATAATTACCAATTATGTGTGCACAATAATTGTAAACATAATATATTATATAATTGAATAAATTAATATTTTTCTTGAAAAGTCATTAAAATTGCCTATATAAAACCCCTTTAAATGCTAATGTTTAAAGCTCTTTAAATTGGTTGCAATTGAGAAAGTAATAATTCCATATTTTTGTATTATATAAAAAATAAATATTATATTATAATATTTTTTACTTTTAAAAATCTGAACTTGTATTTTTGACTAAAATTTAAGGTTCACTATCTTAATATTTAATAGTTCTAAGTGTATTCTTAGGCCCGTTTGTCGTTACACGCTCGTCGAATTCCGGTTGGCTCACAGAGTACCGTTGTATGATTAATTTCTTAAAAATGTTTCAATTATCATAATATACTAAATAAAGTAATTAAAAACATTATTGGTAGGTAAAAGAGATAGGTACCTGTCCTTTGTTTACGTATCACGAATCTACGATTTTTTAAATTATGGACTATAATTAAGGTTTCAAACATACATTCATAGCCTGATAGTTGTATGTGTTAAATATTATATTATATTTAATTGTATTTATACTGTTAATATAACTATATATTAATTGTATTATTATAAAATCAAGTTTTATAAGTTACATAAAATATTAGAATTTTTCAAAAATCATTAACGTTACATATTGGTTTGGAAAAATTCTACAATTTTGATTTCCTTCCAAGTTTCAGAAGAGAGTGTCGAAGAGTGCAAAAATAATATTAAGTAATTATCAAATTTTCGGAGTTAAATTAATATGAGATTGATCGGTGATTTCTAATTCAAAGTATTACACTGAGGTTCGGTAACTGCTCGTTGAGTATAGGTGTGAACAATACAGTTGAGTGTTAATTAATTAATCAATTATTTATTTGAAACGAATTCGAGTTTTAAAGTATACGATATACCGCCAATGAAAAATGTGTCCGCCAATGACGTCACAAAAAATTAGGAATTCAAAAACTAGTGTATGACTGCAAATTAATATACTCGGTACGCCATAGTGTGAACCCTACGTTGAATCGACGATCGTGATACGATAACTAATAACTACCTAATAATTAATAATAACATCGTAGTATACATTAATTTTGATCGTGTATAGTTTTAACATAAGAGTTCATGTACTTGAAATGATTTTCATTAATTTTAAATTGTATAAAATAGATAGCACAACAAATAATTAATGACAATAAGTCGATGTTGTTGTGAAAAATTTGAAACAAAGAAACACGTGTGTACTTGTATTGGTAATGCTTAAGGATTATTCAAAACGATTTTATGAATTTATTTAGTAGTTTGTAAACAATCATAAATTTTTTGTATGTTATGCGTAATTTAGAAAACACATGGTTAGTTATCACACGTAGTCTGTGCGTATCAGGCGTATAAAGAACATTGTGTATAGTATGATTACTACAACTCTGTACAGTTTCAGCATCGATTAGGTTCGACCAGGATTCATGGTTAAAATAAATTAATTAATTATAAACATTAAATATAAAATTTGTGTTCTGTACATGTATTGATTAGTATTATTAACAAGTTTCAAATATTCATAATAAGTATATATCTAATACTTTTACGAACGGTTTCATTTATAATTATTATTTTTTTTATCTTGCAAATAATAAAACTGTATAAAATTTTAAATATTTGTGGACAATAGACATAAAAAACATACACATTCGGTGGTATTACTGTAAAATAAATATAAAGACAATAAACGGATTTATAATAATCAGCTATTTAAATAAATTATTGATGAGGAAAATAATGTGAAATAGTGATGTGTGAAAAAAAAAACATGTTTTCTGTTATTATTTATTTTCAGATTAAAAACAGATCTTTTATTGTAAATCCGTTTTTTCGGTATAACATATTACATGGCCGTTACTGGATTTATCTACGACTGTCTCGATGATTATGACCATATGTGTTATACTTATTAATATCAATGATATATAATTACTAAAATACACAAGTGGAAATGAAGCAAACCAGATTTGAAAAAAAAATACTTTATAACAGTATTTAGAATGCGTTTCATAAAAATAACTGAAATTATACCTAAACAATTGTTCAACTATTATAAAATCGCTTTTTATTAATTATGTTTATAATTAAGAAATATTAAAATAAATTAATGTATGACATATTAAATAGATATTTTTCATATTAAATTATATTAAATTATATTAAATTGTTTTATTGTTTCAACGAATAAAAATTAATAATATAATAAAACGATAAATAAAATAAACAATAAATAAGATAAACGATAAAAAAAAACGAATCCTATTAAAATAAGTGACGCACTCATGATGTGGTCGTTTTATCGAATTGTCTTCAAATGCACTTTGGATGAAAAAAACTGTTACATATTATATCATTTTTAAGTTTCCTGATACATATGAGAAGAAAATGTAGAAAATGTATATTATAAGGCAATATTATAAAACAACATTGTAATTATATTGTTTAAACGAACCAAAATACTAATGAAGCAATTCGCTTTCAACAAAACACGCATTTTCTTGATCGAACAAAAAGTTCATACACTAATAGTTTATCACAAGGACGTTTTAAGAAAAATCGATCAAATAGCTCTATAACTGTTTGCAATTCGAGTGTATTTCTCGTGTGCGCGTGCTTTAGCTACATCTAACCGGATTAATATAATTTTTAAGATTTAAGGGTTATTTTGATTCGGTCGATCTGCATAGTTATGCGCACAGACCACTTCTCACCACCAAAGCATAGTTGAGTAGTTGTTAACAAAATAAATAGTTAAATTTAAGATTACCGTGCATGTAACAAGTAGTATTTTGCCAACACGTTTCGTTGATTTAAGTCCGTTTGAGATTTTTGAATATTTATCGCATGCAATATCAAGTATTCGATTACTTTATTTAAATCGAAAACAATAAACAGTAGAACTTTGGGTTGTTTATACAATGGTCATTGAACATGGGATAAATGCTTGTTGAAACTAATATAACACTCTGTTCTCCGTAGACG